GCAATAGTGCAGTGGGCAGGGCTCTTGCCTTGCTCACTGCTAACCTGGGTCCTCCATATGATATCCTGAACTTGCCAGAAGTGACCCCTGAGCGCAGAGCCAAGAGTAAGCCCTAAACACCACTGGGTTTGGCTCAAAAACGATAAAAAAATAAAATATAGGGTCTAGAGAGATGCTCCAAGGAACTGGTGTGTGGGCTTCGCATGGGGAGGCCCCTGACAGCACCACTGGGAGTGACCGGCCACCAAATGCAAAAATGGGTGGAGCTTCTTCTAGACACTGTCAGGTGTGACCCAGAGATCATGCAAAGAAAAAATTAAAAGCTTTAAACAATTGGGGTTGGGAGATGTCTCAGTGACTAAAGCATCTGCCTCCTGAGCCTGAAGCTTCCCCCTGCACTGAGTACTTGTAGCTGAGTAGTGGAGATATACCACACCGCAGTGTAACAAGCACCATCCAGGGATGGACAGAACATAATAAGCATCCCAGAGAATCCATTTTTTCTCTTTTTCTCTTTTTTTTTGGGGGGGGGGGGGACACTTGGCAGTACTCAGTGCTTACTCCTGGCTCTGTGCTCACAAATCACTCCAGGGGATCATATGGGGTACCGGGGATCAAACCCAGGTCTTCTGGGTTAGCTATGTGCAAGGCAAATGCCCTGCCTGCTGTACCCCAGCCGACCAGAGAACTTTTCTTTTTTCCTTTCTTCCTTTTTTTTCTTTGTTCTTTCTTTTCTTTCTTTACTCCCTTCCCTCCCCACAAGCCCCTTCTCTCTCTCTTTCTCCCTTTTTTTTTTCTGTTTTTGAGTCACACCCAGCGATGCTTGGGGATTACTTCTGGCTCTGTAAACAGAATTACTCCTGGCAGTGTTAGGGGGATCATATGGGATCCTGCGGTAGGGATGGGGGATTGAATCCAGGTTAGCTGTGTACAAGGCAAGTGATTTACTGTCTGTACTATTGCTCTGGCGCCTCCTCAGAGAATTTTTTTTAACTGAATCATCACGAGATACACAATTACAAGTTGTTCATAACTGGGTTTCAATCATATAATATTCCACCAGCCATCCCTTCACCAGTGTACATTTTCCCACCATCACCCCAGAAAATTGATTTTTTTCTTTATTTTGCCTTTTTTTTTTGGCTTTTTGGGTCACACCTGGTGATGCTCAGGGGTTAATCCTGGCTCTGCACTTAGGAATTACACCTGGAAGTGCTCAGTTGACCATATGGGATGTCAGGGATTGAACCCAGGTCCGCCACAAGCAAGGCAGATGCCCTATCTGCTGTACTATCACTCCAGCTCACCTGAATTTCTTTTTTTTTTTTATTAGTGAAACACCATGAGGTACAGTTGTAGATTTACAATTTTTTGTGCTTGGGTTTCGATTATACAATGATCAGATACCCATCCCTCCACCAGTGCCCATTTTCCACCACCATGGATAATATCCCCCCCATCCCCCCCCCCCCCCGCCTCTGTGGCAGGGCAATCCCTTGTGTTCTCTCTCTCCTTTTTCACCTGAATTTCTTATCCTACCGCATCACCTCATGCCATTATTCAGGTTCCCTACCTAAAAGGTAAATATGGCCTTGATTTACTTTCACTGTAGATTAGTGGCTGAATTACAGCCTATAATTGAATTCAGTCGAATCAACATTGTACTTGAATAGGATGATATTCAGCATTTAATAAAGGTAGGAAAGGAAAGATAAGCTTTTAAAAGGGAGAGAAGGGCTGGAGCGAGACTACTGCAGGTAAGGCACTTGACTTGCCCTGGCTTTGATCTGGGTTTGACCTGGGTTTGATCTCTGGCATCCAGGATGGTCCCTTGAGCACTGCTAGGAGTGACTCCTGAGTACAGAGTGAAGAGTAATCCCTGAGCATCATTGGGTGTGGCCCCAAAACAAACACGAACATAAAATAAAAAGAGAGGCTCTTTTTTATTTTAGAGAGTGGCCCTGCAGGGATAGTAGAGCAGGAAAGGTGTGGCTGACCTGGGTTCAATCCCTGACACAGCCCCACCGGAAGTAATCCCTGAGCAATGCTGGATGTGGCCCCAAAACAAAACAAACAAAAAATTAGCGAGCTATAGAAGAACTTGAACTTGGCACAATATGATCATTATAGTCAATTAGAGGCTCAGTGTGCAGTACAGAGAAACAATAATTTTGGAAAACCCTCTCAGGCAGCAGAGAACAAGCATTAAAATGAAATTCATGGAGGCGCGGAGAAGACCACTCAAGAGTAATTCTGAAGCGCATGCCTCGCACATGGGAACCCTGAGTCCGTCCTCGGCACCATGTGGTCCCGAGCTCCTCTGTGTGTGTCCCTGGAGGTCTCTGAGCATTACCAGGGTGGCTCTGGTGGCCCCCTGTGATGCATAGCACCTCGCCGCCGAGCCTGGGGCTGATCCTGCTGCAGCAGTGTGTGGGCTCCGAGCACTGTGCCAGTGTTTAAATACTGCAGTTCAAGCTGTCTGAGCAGTGTGCGTGAATAACCGTCACCCTAGAGTCACCCTAGCAACAGCAGCAGCAGCTACAGGAAAGGCAGGGGATGGGAGAGAAAGAGAAAATGCTGGGAGCGGGGAGAGAGTCCAGCAGTCTGGAGTCCAGGCTCTGCAGGCTGGGCACCAGGGTTCAAACCTGGCACTGCAGAGCGCTCTGAGTCCCTCTAGGACTGACTCCTGGGCACGGAGCTGGGAGTAGTCTCTGAGCACTGCTGGTGTGCCCCCCTCCCCTGCAAAAAAGAGAGAAAATTCCTGGAGGAGTTGGGAGTGACCGTGGCACTAGCAGATGGACCTGTGCCCTGGAGAGTGGAGTCTGGGAGGCCAGCTTGCTGGTGACAGTAACAAGGAGAGTGATGGATGGATTTTCAGATGATCTGTGTGGCTTTCCTTATATGAATCGAAGTTGGGTTCGAAGTTGGATTCTTCAGGACTGGAGCAATGGGGCATAAGGTGGGTAAGGTTGCTTGCAGTCGACCTGGGTTCGATCCCTGGCACCTCATATGGTCTCCTGAGTACCACCAGGAGTAATTCCTGGGTACACAGCCAGGAATAACCCCCGAGTACCTCCATGTATGGTCCCAAAACAAAGAAACAAACAAAATGAATTCTTTAGACGACTTGATGAGTTACCCAGTATCATTTAGCACCTAATATATTACCTTGTTAGGCAATAAAGAAAGAACTTGTAGATGCTGAGAAGGGCTGTCACTCTTATTTTGGGGGTGGGGGGTGCTCTGCACTCGGGAATCATTCCTCGTAGACCCAGGATACCATATAGAGCGCTGGGGATCAAAATTGCCTATGTGCAAATCAAGAGCTTTATCCATTGTACTATCTCCACGACCCCGTCTATTTTTGGGGGGATGGTGGACACACCTGATGGTGCTCAAGGGTTACTCCTGGCAGTGCTTGGGGTGGGGCAACCATATGGGACGCCAGGGATCGACTATGGGTCAGCCACGTGCAAGATAAATGCCCCACATGCTGTTCTATCTAATCAGCCCCACATTCATTTTTTAAAAAAAGACTCAATTGTTTTTTCTTTTTCTTTTTTTTTGCTTTTTGGGTCATATTTGGTGATGCACAGGGGTTACTCCTGGCTCATGCACTCAGGAATGACTCCTGGCGGTGCTTGGGGGACCATATGGGATGCTGGGAATCGAACCCGGGTCGGCCATGTGCAAAGCAAACGCCCTACCCGCTGTGCTATTGCTCCAGCCCTCAACTGCTTTTTTCAAGGACACACATGGTCAGGCCCCAGAGATATGTCACCATAGGTCTGTGGCCATACCATTTTATGTAATACCATCCTTTTGACCTCTCTCTCTCTCTCTCTCTCTCTCTCTCTCTCTCTATATATATATATATATATATATATATCTCCTCTAATATTTCAAAGATCTTGCAAGGCAGGTGTATCTTTTTGTTTCCTTTTGCTTTGGGGCCCCGCACCTGGCTGTGCTCAGGGCTGGCTTACTCCTTCCTTACAGGTGCTAAGGAACCATGCTGGGCTATCTGATCCATTCATTTGAGGTGCTGGGAATTAAACTGGGGTCTGTCAAGTGCTAGGCAAGTGCTTTACCCACTGTACCCTCTGACTTCTCATTTTTTTCAGTGCACTAAGTCAGTACTCATTTATGGTATGTTTGCAAGTATATGGCCCTTAATATGGACGTTCCTGTTTTTTGTTCCACGTGTAAGAGTGTCTCATGCATCTCCTCCCTCATCGCACTTGCTAATTTGGGAGCTGCTTCTCAAGGCGACCCCTTAGGAACAGCTCCTAATGACTCCTAGGATCCCCCCAACTTCCAAAAGTGTGTCTAATAGACTCCCAGGATTTACTCCCGCAGCCCCAAGAGCTGCTCCTAATGACCCCCAAATCCCCATTCATGGAAAAACTGCTTCTTTAATGACCCTAAGGACATCCCCCTTCAGGACCTGTCCTAATGACCCTCAGAGCTCCTTCCCTGGCAGGAACAACTCCCCGTCAAGAAATTCACAGCTTGCCCGGGAGGAAGCGGTCAGGGGCACGAGATTGCCACTTTGAAAAAACCCGAGATGTTCAGGGCTAAGTCGGGCAAGCTCGGGCACTTCCCGAGCTCAGAAGCTGCCTAGTCTAAGGGCTCCCAGAACACCTGCTCCTTCGGCCAGAGCCGAAAACTTTGCGCCGGGACACCTGGCCCCATCCTGGCTTCGGAAACGTCCCGCAACAATCTTCCTCTCCCGGACCACCCCATTCCCAGGGGTTCCGAGGGGCTCCGCGTCTGCCAGAAGTCCGCCTACGATTGGCCTGTTCCCCACCCAGCCGAGATGCTCAGTGGCCACGGTCCCGAGTGGTACCGCGTTTCCTCCTGGCAACAGCTCCAGCGGATGCTCATAGGCTGGGCCAGGGCATCATCTGCGGGCTGGGTTCGGCTGCGGCGCGTGCTCATTGGTTATTTAGGACCTTATTTCGGGGGCCCAGTGCGACTGCGCAGCCGACTCCGGGGAGGCGGGGTTTCGTCCTTCCCCGGCTGGAACCGCCGCGGGGCCGGCGAGTGGCGACAGTCCGGGCCGGGTCTCCGCCCGCCTGGGCAGCGGCCTTTCGGTGAGACCCTTTGGAGCTTGGAACCCCTAAGTTGGCTTCTGCTTGCAGCCTTGGCCGTGAGCGCCCGTGGGGGGGAGGGGCGGACGGGCGGCTTTCGCGCGGGGCGATGGGCATGGGGTGGGGCCAATGGGAGCAGGACCTCCTAAAACTCCTTCTCGCGATTGGTCCTTTCTAATTCCTTGCGGCCAATGGGCGTCGGGGGGTGGGGGCGGGACTCCGGGCCCTTATTTTCTTCTTCCTGCGGCCGGGCCTCACTCGCCCAGGCGGCGGGTCCGGGAGGGGCCGGGCTCCGGAGCGGTGAGGTGCGGGGGGCCGCGGGCCGGGGGGTGGGGAGGTGGGGGGCTCCCTTTGCAGCGCAGCTCGCGGGCGGGGCTGCGCCGGAGGGGGCGGGGGGCCCGTGTGGCTGTTCAACCACTTCACCTTTATTGAGTGCTAAAGTCCCAGGCCTGGTTGCTAGCGTTTCGCTTGCATCATCGAAGTTAATTACAGTAACCCTGTTGGAAAGATATTTTGTTGCCCATTTTCCAGGTGGGGAAATGGAGCCGGGGGCGGGGGGCGTGGAATCCATCCAGCCAAGGCCACAGAGCTAGGAAGGCAGGGAGCGGGGCTGATTTCCGAGATGTTTCGACCCAGGAGCGGTGCGCTCGCTCGGACCACTTGGCTTTGTTGCTGGATGGGGGAGGGAGGGTGGCAGGGAACGGGAGATTTCTCCCGGGAGTAGACTGGGGGAAGGGAATAATCCCGGGTTGGAAAAACGGGAAGGAGCCACTGAAGTGAGGGCGAGGAATCAGTTATTCAACAGTTGCTGGAGTGCTTTTCCAGCCTGGCATTGTTCTGGGCGTACAAAGATGAATAAGGCCAGAGGCGATGGAGCCCCATTCGAGGGTTCCAAGGCCTGGGATTGGCCCTAATACAGTGTTGACAGGATTGTAGGCTTTGGTAAGATTTGCATAGCAACATAGTTTCTTTTTATTTGTCAGAGGGTCCTGAAACCGCATGGCTTCAGGGTTTTGCATTCTGCTTCTTGGGATCTACTCTGCTGAGGGTTTACTTAGCTTCCTTAAAGTCTAGATTGCAATGTAGACAACCTGGAGAGTGGCAGGAACACGAAGACTGTATTCACGGGACTGCAGGCAGTTTCTCTGCTTTGTAAACCAGGAATAACAACAGTATGTTGTATGTAACAGTATACCTAACAGTCTACCTGCCAGACAAAGTTTTGGCAAGGTGCATGGTGATGCCTGGCTGGGAGCACACTTTATTTTTGCAGAAGTGGAAGCCAGAGAGAAGCAGGTAGCAAGGCATGTCATCTCTCTTACCTCGAATTTTCCTCGGAGTCTTTCCCAGCCTGTTATTAGATTAATTGCTGGTAGGTTGGAGGCAGTTCCTTCACTTAGGAGCCCTCCAGATCACAAGGGAATTGAAGTTTAACTGAATGGCTCTAGGGCCCCCTTGGGGGACAGAACTCTTGGACTTTGCTGAGTACTTTTAGTGGAGCAAAGAACAGACTGTTTTTGTTTCTCATGAAGTTGCTTTATCTGAAGCTCTTGGTCCTTATTCAGCGGAGGTGGTCTCTGTTTACAGGCATATCTTTCTGGGCACTTAGCTGAGGACCTATTGAAAACTATTTCTTTTTTTAGAAAAAACTTCTCCAATTAGTTATGATGTTTCCTCTGTGCTGTCAGTTTCGTTCCTGTTTAAATTTTGTTCTTTCCAATTGAACTTAGCTCTAGTTTGACATCTTTAGTGCTGAAGTTGCATTTTGGTTTACCAGCGAGAACACCTTAGGGTATTAGCTCATGCAGCTAATATCAAAGTACTTTTTCACTGGAGAAGTTTTGCGGTTTTGTAACCAAGTCCGCCTTGGAACTGTAGGACTCTTCTAAAACTGCAGCTGGCCTGGAGGAGGGATCCCGTTGTTGCTTTTCAATCTGGTTGTGGCTTATTAGGGTCAAAGCTCTCCCAAGTCATTGGTAAAGTGTGAGTGAAGAAGCAACTTGGAAAGTTAAGGCAAACTCTGGGTAGGGCAGTTGAATTGTTAACTAGAACCAACAATCAAATCATTAGTCACCCTGGAAAGCTGAAACAATGTTTGCATTTGAATACTTGCAATTTTCACATATCAGTTTCTTTTATTTATGTTGGGGGGCTCTGTCTGGCAATGCTCAGGGCTTCTCTTGGCTTCATGCTGAGCCTGTGTGTGTGTGTGTGTGTGTGTGTAAATGTAAATGTGAGTGTGTGTATGGGGGGCACTCCTTGCTGTGTTCTGAAGGATCGAACCTGAGCCTTCTATGTGCATGAGTTCGGCTTCTGAGCTCTGAGCTACCTCTTGGGCTCCAAGTCAGGTTCTTTTAAACAGATTCCCTCACCCCACTTCCAGATTTGTTTTTCTGATTCACCTGCTTTGATGCAGATCCCAGGTGTGACATCTCAGTGCTTTCGCATTCCTGCATCTTTTACTATTTTCAGCACTGACATTCTCAGCATTAACTTTAAATTTGATTTTATATAATTTTTGACTTTTTTGTTTGTTTGTTTTTAGATTTTTGGGTCACACCCAGCGATACACAAGGGTTACTCCTGGCTGGCTCTGCACTCAGGAATTACTCCTGGCAGTGCTCGGGGGACCATGTGGGATGCTGGGAATCGAACCTGGGTTGGCTGCATGCAAGACAAATGCCCTACCCGCTGTGCTATCAATCCAGCCCTAGTTTTTGGCTCTTAATATTTCTTTTTCTGTTTTTTTTGGGGGGGAGTTGAGGGTTCTTGGGCTACACCCGACATTACTCAGGGCTTACTCCAGGCTCTGCATTCAGGGATCACTCCTAGCGGGGGGCTTGGAGGACCTTATGGAGTGCTCGCATCTAACCCAGGTCCTGTGCTTGCAAGGCAAGCACCTTACCCATTGTTCTGTTTCTCTGCCCCTTAATGTATTTTTTTTCAGATTTCCTTCTGACCGCAGCGTTCCCTAAAGAAGAGAAAATGGCTTGCGAATCAGAAACCCTGAACCCCAGTGCTCGGATAATGACGTTCTATCCGACCATGGAGGAATTCCGGAACTTCAGTCGCTACATTGCCTACATTGAGTCCCAGGGTGCCCATCGCGCAGGCCTGGCCAAGGTGATGCTCGGCAGCTTGGTGGCAGAGGCATGGGGAAGGGTTCTTAGGAGTGCTGGAGGAACTGAGTGTTTGCGCTGAGGGTACTCTGTGCTCGTCTTATTTGCAAGTTAATTCCTCTCGTTAACATCTGAAGCATCTCTCTTCCGTCTTGAGGAGAACTTCTTGGAATCCAATGTCCCCCCCTTGTTTTTACCCCCAGCAGTGCTCAGTGCTAACTCCTGGCTCAGCCCTCAGGAATCACTCCAGGCAGGGCTTGGGGGACCTTATGGGGTGTTGGGATCACACCCTGGTCAGCCGCATTTAAAAGAAGCACCCTCCCTGATGTGCTGTCACTCAGTCAGGTTAAGAAAGACCTCTCTCTCTCTCTCTCTCTCTCTCTCTCTTTCTCTTTCTCTTTCTCTTTCTCTCTCTTTTGTGTTCTGGGCCACACCCGACTATACTCCCTACTTGGAAATTTTTTTTTTGAGGGGGGGCCACACTGGGATATGCTCAGGGCTTTCTCCTGGCTCTTTGCTCAGGAGTCACTTTTGATAGTGCTCAGGGATGCTGGAGATTGAACCTGGGTTGGCCGTGTACAAAGCAAGTTCCTTATCCACAATGCTATAGCTCCAATTCCTCCCCCCCCATTTTAAAAATTTTTTTTATTTTTTATTTATTTATTTTTTGCTTTTTGGGTCACACCCGGCGATGCACAGGGGTTACCTCTGGTTCATGCACTCAGGAATTACTCCTGGCTGTGCTCAGGGGGCCATATGGGATGCTGGGAATCGAACCTAGGTCGGGCTGCGTGCAAGGCAAATGCCCTACCCGCTGTGCTATCGCTCCAGCCCCCCCCCCTTTTTTTTTTCAAAGAGGTCCTCAATTGGTGCTGAGTGGCTAGGATCACATTCAACAAGCACACAGGGTCACGTGTGGTGGCCGCTGTCGGCCATGTAGTCGTGTCAGGATCTAACCAGCCTTGCGGTGCTCATCCTCTGCTCGTCCATGTGGCGACCCTCAGCTCTGCTGTGGTGTTTTCACACCATCCTCTTCTCTCCTCCTTTCGGGCTCCTTCAGAGTAATGTGGCTTCCTCCTCTTTCTTTCAAATAAATTTTTTTCTTTCAAATAAATTTACCTTTTATTTTAGTAGGAGCCACCCCTAGCAGAGCTTGTGGGCCACGAAGGCTGTCCCTGGCAGTGCCCAGGGTCCCAGGTGTTGCTGTGGACTAAACATGTGACCTTGGGGGCTGGAGAGATAGCACAGCGGGTAGGGCGTTTGCCTTGCACGCGGCCGACCCGGGTTCGATTCCCAGCATCCCATATGGTCCCCTGAGCACCGCCAGGAGTAACTCCTGAGTGCAGAGCCAGGAGGAACCCCTGTGCACCGCCAGGTGTGACCCAAAAAGAAAAAAAAAACAACATGTTACCTTGGACGTGCTAGGATGTTCTACCACTCAGTTTTTGTCTTCTCTGGTGAAGTTTGTACTAGACTGAGAAGCAGTTTTCACCTTTTTTTTTTTTTTTTTTTTTTTTTTGCTTTTTGGGTCACACCCGGCGATGCCCAGGGGTTACTCCTGGCTCATGCACTCAGGAAGTGCTCCTGGCGGTGCTCAGGGGACCATATGGGGTGCTGGGAATCGAACCTCTGTCGGTCATGTTGGCTGCGTGCAAGGCAAACACCTACCCACTGTGCTATCGCTCCAGCCCCAGTTTTCACCTTTCTTGGTGCTCCAGATAAGGTGCTGAGGCCGAGCATTGTACAGCTATTTTTTTTCTTTTGCGGGGCGGGGGGTGTTGGAGGAAGGAGGCTCAGGTCACTCCTGGTGGTGTAAGGGACCAAAGTTGTGCACGTGTGGAAAGTGCCATGCTGCCTGGAATTCATTCCTTTCTTCGGGCATCACAGCTAGCTCATGGCACCGCTGACCAGCCTTCGTGTGCTAGTGTGACCTGCTGAATTTGGGGGAACAGGGCTCAAGTCCAAGTCACTTCCAGTGAACTAGACTTAGACGAGGACGCAGGCTTCACGCCTCTTGAATTCTGAGCCGCTCCGCAGCTTTCTGACCTCTCCGCTTCCCGGCAGGTGGTTCCTCCCAAGGAGTGGAAGCCCCGGTCATCCTATGACGATATCGACGATCTGGTCATCCCGGCTCCCATCCAGCAGCTGGTGACGGGCCAGTCGGGCCTCTTCACGCAGTACAACATACAGAAGAAAGCCATGACGGTCCGTGAGTTCCGCAAGATCGCCAACAGCGACAAGTGAGTGAGAACAGACTGGTGGCCCAGGGCCCCATGTCCGCTCCCTCCATCCCGCTCTGTTCATGAGCGTTCCCAGTACCGCCCCAGCACCTAAAGTCCTTAGTGTTGGGCAGGATGTGGCTCAGAGGGTCGGGGCTTGTGCCCGGTGTATGTGGGGTTGCCTGTCCCCAGCAGCACTGGGGATGATGCTGGTGGCTCCCAGTCACGATCTCAGCGTTGTCTCACTCTGAGTTGCTGGTCTGACTTGCTGCGGAGTGATCCTGAGCACTGCTGGGTCTCCTCGCTCTTCCCCCCTCGCCGACCCCAAAGTAGCCCTCTAATTTTCCCATTAAAGGTAGAGCTGGGGGCCTTAGGGACTGTCCACAGGACTGGGCACGTGCTTTTTGCTCGGAAGAGCTCTGGGTTCGACCCTCAGCACCACTCGGTTTGCCCCACCCACCCAGCACTACCAGGAATGGCACTCTGGTACCCCAAACCATTATTTTCCGCTCTGGTCCTGGGGCAGGTTGCAGAGGAGACTGTGGGATGGTCAGAAGGAGCTCTTGCTCGTTGCAGTGATAGATCTGATGAAAAGTGCCCGAAGGGGGTGGGGACGCAAATGATAGTCCAGTGGGTAGGTTGTTTGACTTGCTCGTGGCCAACCCAGCTTGCACAGGGGATGATTCCCTGAGGCCACCCGGAGTGAGCCCTGAGCTCCGCCAGGAGTTCAGTCCTAAGCACAGCCTGATGCCTCCAAAACAAAAGAACAAAATAAAAATATTGTAGTGTTTTGAGGACCTCCATTCTCCACCCCCTCTTTCCCCTTGATTTAATCTCGTTGTTGATATTTCTCTAGCTCTTAGCTGCTCTCATTTGCATTTTAACGTTAACAGGATATGAATTTAATGTCAAGCTGGTGGTTGGTTTCTGTCCTTCCCTGCTCTGTCTGTCTTTGGGGGGCTGAGGGAGAGAGAGCACAGCAGGTGGGGCGCTTGTCTTACGCACAGCCCACTGGGTTTGATCCCAGCATTCTCCGAGACCCCTGAGTGCAGAGCCGGGAGTCGCCCCTGAGCATCGCTGGGTATGGCTCAAATGCCAGAAAAGAAGAAAGAAACGGGGCTGGAGAGATAGCACAGCGGGTAGGGTGTTTGCCTTGCACGTGGCCGACCCGGGTTCGATTCCCAGCATCCCATATGGTCCCCTGAGCACCGCCAGGAGTAATTCCTGAGTGCAGAGCCAGGAGGAACCCCTGAGCATCGCCAGGTGTGACCCAAAAAGCCAAAAAAAAAAAAATAAAGAAAGAAACGTGTGTTTCTATTCAGGCAGAGTTTGCTGTGTTTTTCCCGAGAATGGGAGGATGGACGCCCCTCAGACTCCTGTTCATCTTTCTCGGAGCTTTTCCCTCCTGCCTACCTCCTTCGTGAGGAGTTTCCTTAGGAAACGTTCCTGGCTTTTCTCCTGAGACTTTTTTTGACCCACGCTTGTCTGGATTTCCGCTGCTGCTGAGACGTGCGTGGCCTTCAGGCGGGGTGGGGTGGGAGGCACGTGCCGCCTCATTGTTTGTCATGTCGCAGTGCTCTCCTTTTTATTTTTATTTTATTTTATTTTTTTGCTTTTTTGGGTCACACCCGGCGATGCACAGGGGTTACTCCTGGCTCTGCACTCAGGAGTTACTCCTGGCGGTGCTCAGGGGACCACATGGGATGCTGGGAATCGAACCCGGGTCGGCCGCCAAACGCCCTCCCCGCTGTGCTATTGCTCCAGCCCCGCACCCTCCTTTTTAGAGCTCCCTCTGTCTCCTTTCTCTTTGTTCGTTCCTGTGCCTTCCCAGCTGTGTGTGTGGGCACCGGGGCTGGAGGTTCCCTCCTCGCCCCTGGATCTCTCCTCCTGGTGCTCCGCGCTGGCCGTGTTACCCTCTGACTTGCCCTGATCCTAAGTGCGGCTTCCAGCCCTGGACCGCTTCACCCCTCTCACGACTGCGGTCCCCTGTGGGGGTTTCTATAGCAGCGTGCACAAGAGGCTCACGCACCCCACGGATGGAAGCGTTTGCCTCAGCCCCTTCGACCCTCCCTCGCCACCCCCACCTCTCTGCTCTCTGTTTGACTTGGGGTTCCTCTGACTTCTTTTTGGCCCGCACCCAGCGATGCTCGGGCGTTATTCCTGGTGGGACCATCTTGGTACTGGGATTGGACCCGGGCTGGCTATGTACAAGGAAGTAGCCCACCTGCTGTACTGAACTCCCTGCTGGTCACCACTTGCTCTTTTGAATTAGCCAATCCGGGGTCCAATTTCCTCCATCCCGAAGACAACAGATTCTTTTTTTTTGTTTCATTTGTTTTTGTTTTGGGGTCACAGTGGTGCGTGGGGCTTATTCCTCGCTCTGCATTCAGGGATCACTCCTGGCAGGTTCAGGGGAACCATGTGGGATGCCGGGACCTGAACTTGGGGCGGCTGCTTGCAAGGGAAATGCCCTGCCCACTGTGCTATTGCTCCAGCCCCAAGGCTACCTGTATATCCATTTTCCTAACCTAATTTTTTTATTTTTTTTTGTGGGGGGGGCACACCTAGAGATTCTCAGGAGTGACTCATGGCTCTGCGCTCAGGAATTATTCCTGGTGGTGCTTGGGAGACCCTATGGGATGTACATGTTTGCCTGTGTATGTAAAACAAATGCATATTTCCCAAAATTAGAAAACTTTACGTGCACAACTTTATTTAGGGATATTTAATTTATTTAATTATTTTGGTCCCCTGCCCTGGGATAGTTTGTGTTTTTATTAAAATATTTTGTGGTGGGCTGGAGAGAAAGTACAGCGTAAGGTGCGTGCCTTGCTTGAGGCTGCCCTGCGTTTAATCCCTAGCGCCCGATATGGTTCTCTGAGCTTGCCAGGAATGATTCCTGTGTGCAGAGCCAGGAGTAAGCCCTGAGCACTGCCAGGTGTCGCCCCCAAATCTTCCCCCTTCAGATTTATTTTTTGCTTTTGTGCGTGCGTGTGTGTGTGTGTGCGCGCGCGCGCGCGTGTGTGTGCGTGTGTGTGTGTGCGCACGCATGCATGCGTGAGGGGCTGGTACGTGTGCCTGGCTTACCAAGACCCTGAGTTCATTCCTGGGCTCTACGTGGTTCACTGAGTACTGCCAGATATGGATAGCCGTGGTGCCCCCCAGTGTCGCTGGGTCCGAGCATTTCTGGGTTCTGGGGCATTGAACCCTTGAGCTGAACAGGCATGGCTCCTCTGTCGTCCTCCAATTCCGGGGAACTTCCCAGCCCCCAGTAACGCGGAGTTAAAGGGACCTTTTACGTGGTAAGGTGTGATGGCTGGCTGGGCCTCGGCTGCTGTGCGGGGTGCTGGGGAGGCAGCGGACACAGATGCCCACACAAGATGTGCTTGGGAACTCCAGCAAGCGCCTTCTGTGCTCAGGCAGGTTGTGGGTCTTGACTTTCAGGGACTGCAAGCCTTTTTGCTCCCTGCTGACTGGAGTGGGGTATAGTTTTAGTTGGCTCTCAGGAAAGGGGTGAGGAGGTCATGCTGCTCAGGGAAGATGGGTCATCACTGCAAGGATGGGCCCCTCCGATTGGCCAAGGACCCCTGGAAGGGATCCCAAGGGAGTCTCCGTGAAGAACCTTCCAGGCCAAGGTTAGCCTTGTATATCGGCTCTCCCTGGGACAGGGGATCTGTCTTGTGCTGTTCCTGACACCTAACCAGCTTTGTTCCTTAGACGTAGTTAATACCATTTGTTTCTTTCCAAAGGTACTGTACCCCACGTTACAGTGAATTTGAAGAACTTGAGCGGAAATACTGGAAAAATCTCACATTCAATCCCCCCATCTACGGCGCAGACGTGAATGGCACACTCTACGAGAAGGTGAGGGGCGCTGGGAGCTCACCTGTGGTTCTCTAACTTTGTTCTCTGGCTTTGTTCTCTGCCCTGCACACAGTAGGCCTGCAGGCCGCCTGCTGACGGGGCAGGAAGGCAGCCAGCTCTGCCACCAGACCCTGGGCCTCACGCACTTAATTGTGGGTTTTGTGTTTTTTTTTTTTTTTTGGCACGTGACTGAATTTTATTTCTCCCACTCTGCATGTAAATTGGATGATTTGGTGTTCTTTGCAAGGGCTGTTAGAAGAGTCCGTGGGTGGTAGCTGATGAGCTCTTGAAAGGGTGGGATCACGGGAAATGAGATTCTGGGGGAGAGGCAGTGTGTTTCAGCAGAAAAAGATCACTGACTAATCTAATGAAAGGGGTATGTATTTAAGAAGAGAAACGCGTTTAGGCGTTCAGAGCCCTCAAACTAGATTCTGTGATAAAAGCTATTTTAGCAGATCTCATCGGCTAGGAATCTGCGTAAAGAATTGCTTTAGCGGGACCGGGGAGACAGCACAGTGGGTAGGGTTCAATCCCCGACACCCCATAGGGTTCTCTGAGCATTCTCTGAGGAGTGATCCCTGAGTTCAGAGCCAGGGGTATGACGGGTGTGGCTTGCGAACAAAGAAACAAAGAAACAAGAATTGCTTGAGCTATGATAGAAGAAAGAAATACTTGGCTGGTATTTTGCTGGGGTGGTCCCACAGCCAGCATTGCTGAGGGCCTACTTGAGGCTCTGCTTGGGGGTCACTCCTGGCAATATTTGGGGGTTTATGAGGGGTGCTGGGGATTGAACCCAGGTCTGCTGCATGCAAGGCAAGTACCTTACCTGCTGTGCTGTCTCTCTGGTCCCGTGGCCTTTAATTTTTTTTGGTGCTTAAACACACTCTGCAGGGCATTTTAGGGATCAGTCCTCAGATGGATTAAATTCTTTTTTTTGTATTTTTTTTTGGGGGGGTGCATCCCTGACAATACTTGAGGACTTACTTTTTTTTTTTTCCTTATTTGGGTCACACCCAGCAATGCACAGGAGTTACTCCTGGTTCATACACTCAGGAATCACTCCTGGCGGTGCTCGGGGGACCCTATGGGATGCTGGGAATCGAACCTGGGTCGGCCGTGTGCAAGGCAAACGCCCTACCTGCTGTGCTATTGCGCCAGCCCCTTGAGGACTTACTCCTTACTTGGTGCTTTGGGTTGCTCCTCTCTGGGTGCTCAGGGATCATGAGATGCTGGGGGTCAGACCAGGCATCTCCTGCCTGCCGAAGCTCATGCTCTAGCCCTTGATACATCTCCGTGACCCCCAAACTTATTTTGATGTTTCGGCTGAGCAATAGTACAGTGGGTAGGGCTCTTGCCTTGCATGTGTCCGACCTGGGTTTGATTCCCAGCACTTCATATGGTCCTCTGAGCACAATCAGGAGTGAGCCCTGAGGACAGAGCCAGGAGTAAATATACCCTGAGCACTACCTTATAATTAAAACAGCATTTTTATATTTTTGCACAGTATTGAAGGAATTATTATTATTATTATTATTTTATTTTATTTTTTTTGGTGAGGGAGAGTTTGTGCCACATCTGGTAATACCTGGTCTGTTCTTGGCTCTCTGCTCAGGAGTGGCTTCTGGCAGTGCTCTGAGCCATATGTGATGCCTGGGTTTTGAATGGAGCTTGACAAGATGCCAGGCAAGGGACTTAATCCCAGTACTGTTCCTCTCACTCCTAAGGGATTCAGTTTAACCTGTGAACTCCAAGTTGGTTGGAGATGGTTTCCCCTCTCCCCTCCCGAGGGGGAGGGAAAGGCAGGAGGATGCTGTGAAATTCTGGGGCGAGAAGGTGCCAGAACAAGGTGTCCTTGCGGTAGTGGGGCTCTTCGCTAATCACAAGTTCGGGGAGGGTTCGGGTGACTCAGGTGTACCCATGTGTTGCTCTGTGTGTGCTCTTCTGCACGTGTGCTGCTGGGGTTCGAGCTCAGGGCCTCACCCAGGCAGAGCAGTGCTCTAATGCTGAGCTCCATCTGCAGCCCGTTTTTAGACTTTTTACAAAGTTTGTAAACTTGTTTGCGTTAGAAACTGCAAACTGGGGCCTAGAGAGACCGCGCAGTGGGTAGGGCACTTGTCTTGTATGCCGCTGACCCAGGATCGATCTCCCAGCGTCCCATACGGTCCCCAAGCACTGCCAGGGGCAATTTCTCAGTGCAGAGGCAGGACTAACCCCCGAGGATTGATGGGTGTAGGGCCCCCCAAATCGCAAATTGGTATAGTTAATTCCCATCCATGTTTTTAATTTTATCTTTAAGCCGTACCCTAATGGTGCTCAGGGTTTACTCCTCACTCTGTGCTCAGGGGGCACCTTGGTGTTGGCTCAGGGGACCATCTCAGGTACTGGGAATTGATCCCAGCTCCGCCGCGTGCAAGGCAAACACCCTAGTCGCGGTACAGTCTCAGGTGGTTTGTATTCTTTGTTTTGTGAGTCCTTGCGGTAGGGCGTTTGCCTTGCGTGCAGCCGGCCTGGCCGAGCCGGGTTCGATTCCTCTGTTCCTCTCGGAGAGCCTGGCAGGCTACCAAGAGTATCTCGCCCGCACGGCAAAGCCTGGCAAGCTACCTGTGATGTAGTCAATACGCCAAACACAGTAACAACAAGTCTCAAAATGGAGATATTACTGGGCCCGCTCGAGCAAATCGATCAACAACGGGAGGACAGTGACAGTGGACAGTGTTGTTTGGCCCAAGTGTCTTTTTTTTTTTTTTTTTTTTGCTTTTTGGGTCACACCTGGCTCTGCACAGGGGTTACTCCTGGCTCTGCACTCAGGAATTATCCCTGGCGGTACTCAGGGGACCATATAGGATGCTGGGAATCGAACCCGGGTCGGCCGCGTGCAAGACAGACGCCCTACCCGCTGTGCTATTGCTCCAGCCCCCATGGCCCAAGTGTCTTTGACATTGTTCCAGCCCTTCCTCCTGGGGGCAAGAAGAGGCGGTGGTTACGTGGGCCACCCCCTCCTTCCCTGTTGTCCAGAGAGTGCTTCTTGGTCAGCTGGAGTGGTGGCTGTGAAAGTGAGCTGGGGCCCGTGTCTTCCCAGCCATGCTGCGTGCGTTGGCTGCGCCTCTGGGTTAGGGGTGGTGGCTGCCCTGTCACCTGCTCTGATTAGTGGGCTCAGGCCCCCCCGCCCTCGTCTACACTCGGCATCGCTTCCCTCCGCAGCATGTCGACGAGTGGAATATCGGTCGCCTGAAAACGATCCTGGACTTGGTGGAGAAGGAGAGCGGGATCACCATCGAGGGCGTCAACACCCCGTACCTGTACTTTGGCATGTGGAAGACGTCCTTTGCCTGGCACACCGAAGACATGGACCTCTATAGCATCAACTACCTGCACTTCGGGGAGCCCAAGTCCTGGTAAGACCGCCTGCCCCGGGGCGCTGGGGTGTCTCCGGCTGCTCAGGGTGTGTCCAGCGGGGGTTCCCGCTCAGCAGGCTGCCGGGCGGCACCGGGGCATGTCCCTCTCTGCTCTGCTGCCTTTGGAGCCCGGGTCCCAGTGGCCATGGAGGGCAGCGCCCTGGCCGCCGTCATGCGCACGCAGAGTTGGCCAAGGTCTTGAGAACTGCCGAGCCCCCTTCCAGCCGACCCCCACCTCCGCTCTCTGATTTCTTTCTCTGCACAGGCAGGAGGCATTTCTTTAGAGGCAGACTTCCAAGCCTGGAGTCACTCCTTCAGATGATAGAAAACTTTCTTTTCCTCCTGGAAAAAGTACTTGGTGAGCAGCTGTGCGTGCTTAACCCGAGAGGGGAGGCGAGGCCTCCACTCCTGCTCTCCAGGCCATTGTCAGTCCGTCGGGAGGGCGCAGACATGTCCTGGCCGCTTCCCCGTGCTGGTGCCCGCAGACGCACAAGGGGCCCGGGCTTCTCCCGAGGAGGTGGGCCGGGAGGCAGACTGAGAGTGGGTCCACAGGGGACGGCGGACACCGTGGGATGGCGTAGGAGAGGTTAGAGAACATTCCCCCAGTAAAGGTTGCACTTAGGGAGGAGAGGATGGTGGAGAGTTCTGGAGAGGAGAGAGGAGGGACCTGAGCCCCTCTGGTAGGAACAGCACACGGAGAGACCCTCTGTTGGGAGAGGCACCGTGGCCTGTCACTAGTCACTGGAAGAGGCTCAGAGTGGTTTGGGGGCCTCAGAGGGGTTTGAGCGAGCAGGCAGGAGGGAAGGAGGAGGGGAGCAGGGATCCTGGGGGAGGCGGGGAACTAACCCATCTTCATTTTCCTCTTTTTCTTTCCTGCTTTCCAATATCTTGTTTTTTTGTTGCTCTTGTTGTTGTTTATTTGTTCGCTCTTTTTTTTTTTTTTTGGCTTTTTGGGTCACGTCTGGCGATGCACAGGGGTTACTTCTGGCTCTGCACTCAGAAGTTAGGGACCATATGGGATGCTGGGAATCGAACCCGGGTCGGCCGCGTGCAAGACAAACGCCCTACCCGCTGTGCTATCTCTCCAGCCCCGTTCGTTCTGTTTTTGGGCCAGCGATACTCAGGGCTCACTCCTGGCTCTGCACTCAGGAATCACTCGTGGTGGTGGTCGGGAGACCATATGAAATGCCGGGGATCGAACCCGGGTCGGTTGCATGCAAGGCAAGCGCCCTACCCGCTGCACTATTGCTCCAGTCCCTGTTTTTTTTGTTTTTTTTTTCTTTTGCTGCACTCTACTGTGCTTTGGCTCTGCCCTCAGGGATCACTCCTGGTGACCGTAGGGGATCATATGAGGTGCCAGGGATTAACCCGGGTTAGCCCGGGTTGGCTACGTGCAAGGCAAACACCCTAGCCACTGTCCTAGTGCTCCGGTCTTCATCAAGTGTTTATTTTTTGGGGGCAGAGACATTTTGAGCCTGTGGTCATCCAAAACCGATGCTCTCTTTTCTTCCCTAGCTGGCTAGGTGTCCACAGTCAGCCCTGTAGTCTCTATCTTCCCCTTGTTTGTGAGTTGCTTTCTCAGGGTGCCAGACACAGTAACAACAAAGTCTCCAATGGAGACGTTACTGGGCCCGCTCGAGCAAATCGACGATCAACGGGAGGGCCTTTACCTTTTCTCAGGGTGAGAGAAGATTTTCTAGTTGCTACTTACATATACTTCTCAGGTCCCTTGGATGGAGACTTCAGGACTTCTCTGTGAGTTTGTCTCATAGATGTCCAGATTACTTCAGGGGACAGCTCCTGGTCTGTTTTGTTTCGTGATGAAACTGTATGGATGGGAAACTTTGGTTGTGGATTAACTTTTTAGAGTCTCTTAGGTTAAAATAGGCATGTGTGAGTTTCAGGAGCTTTCACAATTTTGCAAAAGTCTGGCTTAGTCTTAATAGGTTTTTTTTTTTATACAGCGCAATTTTTATTTTTCCTTTTTTTTGGTATTTTTTGTTTTTGAACCACACCCAGCAGTGCTTAGGGCTTACTTCTGGCTCTGCACTCGGAGATCACTCCTGGTGGGCACCAGGGGAACCATAGGGGGTGCTATGGATTGAACCCAGATCGGACCTGGGTTGGTCATGCATGGGAAGGCCCTCCCTGCTATACTGTCACTCCGGCCAGGCTTTCTGTGCTGTCTACGCTACCCTACTGGGTGGAGGACCAGTACTTTGTTGGCTAGTGGGTTAACATGGTTCTGGAGATGCGGAGATGTGGCTTCCTCCGCAGATGGGGGGGCTGCGTCTCAGAGTGAGTCGTTTTCACCCTGTGCCTCTTTCTTTATCCCCTTCAGGCCTTTCCAGCCCAGCCAGGAGCACTTTCACGCCGTCCTCCTTTCTTTCTTCCTCCAGCAGTATTACCGCCTGGGTCCGGGGCTGGGGATGTAGCCCAGCAGGAGAGACCTTGCCTTGCACGTATCAGACTCTGGCTTTTGATGGGTTAGGGAAAAAGCAGTTACTGCGCGCGTAACAGAAGGGAGCAAATGCTGAGTGCATCCCAGAACTCCTGACCGGCTCATGACAGATAAAGATACTCAGTGAATTCCTCGTTAAATGAATGGCTAAAAGTTCCTTTACACCTTCATGCTGGCTCTCCAGATTCCTTCCCAAGTAGTCTTTGTTTGTTTGTTTATTTATTTATTTATTTATTTATTTATTTTGGGGCCATTCCTGGCAGTCCTCTGGGGTTACTCCTGGCTCTACACTCAGGAATTTCTCCTGGGGGTGGTGGGGGGACCCGGTGGGGTGCTGGGGATCGAGCCTGGGTGGGCTGCGGGCAAGGCAAGTACCCTACCTGCGGAGCTATTGCGTCGGCCCCTACTCTGGTAGCCTCGCTATGTTTCATTTCTTCAGATTTCCATTCTTGTTTCTGTGGCCTGGAAGTTGAGCAGTCTGGTGTCTGGAGCTGCCTGAGCAGTGGGTATGGGCTGTGTGGTCTGTGCCGCCCAGGGGCTGACGCTGTCGTGTGCTTGCAGGTACTCAGTGCCCCCGGAGCATGGGAAACGCCTGGAGCGCCTCGCCAAAGGTACTGGGTCCCTGCTGCTCCTGGCTCTGCAGCCCACCTCTGGAGAGTCCTCGGAGGCTGGGGCACGTGTGCTGGGCCTCCTGGGAGTTCCCCTGGCAGAGCCTCAACCATCTGCTTTTTTGCTTGGTCCCAGGGAAAGGGACTCAGCAGTTCTATTGTGGATTCTGCTTAGGTTGATTGGAATAGGAATATTGGACCAGCTCTAAAAGTCATATGGGGTCGGGTCTTCTGCTGAAACTTGGTAGTTCATGTCAAAATGAAATTAGTGTGTGTTGTGTGTGTGTGTGTGTGTGTGTGTGTGTGTGTTGGACCAGCTCTATAAATCATATGGGGTCTGAGTCTTCTGCTGAAAACCAGTGGTTCATGTCCACATGGAATTAGTGTGTGTGTGTGTGTGTGTGTGTGTGTGTGTGTGCGTGCGTGCGCGCGCACGCGCGTGTGTGTTTGGGCTACTCAGGCCTTTGTTCAGGGATCACTCCTGGTGGTGCTCTGAGACCATATGAGGTGATAGAACCGAGGTCAGCGGTGTGTGCCTTAGCCCCTGTAATATCTCTCTGGTCCTATATTTTGTGTTTTAAAAGGGGATCTTGGGGCTGGGGAGGTAGTACAGTGGGTGGGGTGCTTACCCGACATGTGACTGACCCAGGTTCGATCCCTAGCATCCCATATGGTCCCCTGAGCCACCAGGAATGATTGTTGAATGCAGAGCCACGGGAGTAAGCCCTGAGCATCACTGGGTGTGGCCTAAAACAAAGGGGAAGAAAGCTAAAAGGGATCTCGATAGATGTGTACTCTATGGAGCCTGGATGTCACTGAGTGAGAAGAGACACTCACTGACAGCCGGGTGTGTTGGGAGAGTGTGTCCACGGAACTCAGAAGCTCTTTGTAGGACAAAGGCAGCTTGGGGACGCTCACTGTGGTTCTCCCACACAGTTGGGTTACCTCAGGAGACATCTAGCTGCGCGCGAGCTTGTGGTGGTCTCATTAGAATGGAGTGAAAGCTAGAAGGTTCCATTGCAGAGCATATGGGGGAATCCGCCTCTTTAGGGGACCAGAGGCCACACCGGGGGGTCTGATGTGATGTGACTCCCAGGAGCCGTGTGCTAACCTTCGGGCCCCTTTTCAACTGAACAGGCTTTTTCCCGGGAAGTGCTCAGAGCTGCGAGGCTTTCCTCCGCCACAAGATGACCTTGATTTCTCCTTTAATGCTGAAGAAATACGGGATTCCCTTTGACAAGGTGAGCTTGCGCAGACGTGCGGCCACAGTTCCTGGTGGTCACAGATGAGTGTTTCTCCAGTGCCTCACCTGGGACCACTAACCTGTGTGGTGACACTTTGATCTAAGGGTGACAAAGGTGGGGCCGCGGTAGCTCCCTAGTGCCCGGGGGGAGTGTGGCCGTGTGGATTCGGAGCAGTGGCGCCTCGCCGTCACGGGGTCTGCTGTCTGGGCTTCGCAGCTCATGCAAGACCCCACTACCCCCGTGGCCTTGTGCCTTGTCCTTGGTTACTTAGCCGCGTTGTGCAGAGCTGGAGCTCCCCGAGTCTGGGTCGTAGACTTCCTGCCGTTCGATGCAGCTGCTTCAAGTCTGCTCTTGTTCAGGTAACTCAAGAAGCTGGAGAATTTATGATCACTTTCCCTTACGGTTACCATGCCGGCTTTAACCATGGCTTCAACTGTGCCGAGTCCACCAATTTTGCTACCCGGCGGTGGATTGAGTACGGCAAACAGGCGGTGCTGGTAAGTCCCCTGGGTCTCCTCGTGTGACACACATGCTCAGAAACGCCTGCTTTCAAAGGGTGGGGGTGTGGCTCAGGGATGGAGATGGCGCTGTGCGTGTCCGAGACGTGCCCAAGGTATGTGCAAGGCGTGTCCAAGGCGTGTCCCAGGCTCTGGGCTTGGGCCCTGGCCCCTACGGTCACCTTCCCAGGCACCCAGGCACGGCTCATAGCTGCTTCCACAATGGTCAGAAACAGAACATCCTATTCTGGGCCAGGTAGTACGGGGGTCAAGGCACTTGTCTTGCACGCGGTTGGCCCTGGTTTGATGCCCAATCTGGTGGCCTGAGCACCGAGCCAGGAGTAAGCCCTGAGCCCTGCTGGGTGTGGCCCTAAAAACCTAAAACAATCCCCCCCAAAATCTGTCCCATTGAGCAAGTCCTCTTGGCTGTTGATTAGCATGTTTCTTTGAACTGCTGGAGTTGAGAAATGAAAGAGGTTGGGTTTGTGCAACATTGGTTGATTACAAATTTTTTAGAAAATAAAAAATCGAAGAAAGGGTTTTTGTGCTGGGGATCAGATGCAGGTCTCGTGCATGTGGGCGGGCACGTTACCAGAGTTACCTCCCCTCCCCCCCCCGACTCTGTCCTTTTGTGCTTTGTTCCGCTTTGCAATTTGGACCGTACTGGGCTCCGTGCCGGCGCGGCTCCCTCCGAGTGATGTTGGAGTGACCCTGCGGTGCTGGGGGCCAGGCCAGGCCTCGCCTCGCGCTGAAAGCTGCTGCCCCGGCCTTTAGAGCCATCCCCCTGGTCCCTCAGGAAGAGCTTCTAAAAGCTTGTGCACATTTATTTGAGAAGCGCAAAGCGAGCTCGCCAGATGAATCTCCGGCACGAAGCCACGGGGCATGGAAACGCCCCCACACAGGCTCCTTTGCTCTTTCTTGGTTGCTTCCGTGTTCTGGGATTTTCCCAGTGAGAGCTTGGGAGGTCGTTTGTCAGCAGTATGTCGGTCTCGGACCAGGAGTAAACCGGCTTATGTGAGCCAGGAAGGGAGGACCCGGGGTCTGAGGGCCGCATTGGTCAGTGCTCCAGGCAGCTCCAGTGGGGAGGATGCTCCCCCATCCTGTGCTCTCCTGTGCCCGCCCCTGGCCTGGGCAGGCCCTGCGCAGACCCCTACCCCGCCGCCAGCTGAGCCACACGCCTGCCTTAGGCTGTCTCTGAATCTCCCTCCACAGGGGGCCGGGGTGGGGAGGGTGGGACCGCCGCTAGGAGCCATGCCCACTGACCCAGCACCCTCTGCTCTCCTGGACAGTGCTCCTGTAGGAAGGACATGGTGAAGATCTCCATGGACGTGTTTGTGAGGAAATTCCAGCCGGAGAGGTACAAGCTCTGGAAGGCCGGCAAGGACTGTGCCGTGATCGACCACACCCTGCCCACACCCGAGGCAGCCGAGTTCCTGAAGGAGAGCGAGCTGCCCCCCAGGGCTACGCCTGGGGACGCCTGCCCCGAGGAGGATGTGGCAGGGCTGGAGGACGGCGAGGAGGGAGACCTCAAGAGGAGGTAGGCTGCCGGGAGGGCGGGGGTGGGGGTGGGGGTGGGGGCCGGTCCCGTGGCACCGCTGGGGAGGTCCAGTCTGGCTGCAGCCCCAGCCTGCCGACAGGGTGTGGGCCTGTCCCTGGCCTCTGACTCGGGGGGCGGTAGGTGTCACAGGCCCCTAGTTTGCCTGGCGGGGGGCTTGTACCTCTGAGCCCAGTGTGGTGATGGGAGTGAGACTTGAGGGCTGGGACGGAGTGACGGAGGGTGACCTTGTTGTGATCTCAAATGGAGCTGTCCGGGCAGGGTGGTGGTGGGGAGTTCCAGGGCCTGTGTGGGTACATCTTTATGGAATACCTTCTCCAGGTGCTGTTTCTGGGTTTTTTTGGGGGGCTGAGGGCTCCTGAGCAGTGCTCAGGGGCACCCAAGGTCGTTTCTGGTGATTCTTGAACAGAAGGGTCAGCTTTGACCTGGCGCTATGGGGGTTCGAACGCGGGTGCCTGGGCGGCCCGGTCGGCCCCCGGCAGTTGAGCACACCTGTCCTCTGCCCTCCCACAGCTTCGCCAAGCACCGGATCGGCACCAAGAGGCACCGGGTTTGCCTGGAGCTCCCGCAGGAGGTGAGCCAGAGCCAGCTCTTTCCCAAGGAGGAGCTCAGTTCCGGACAGTACGACCTGGCCGAGGGCCCGGCCGGCCTGGCTCCCGTGCGGCCCACCCACAGCTCCGTGCGGCCAGTGGAGGACAGCCTCGCCTTCCCAGGTGAGTGGCTGGCTCCACGCCCCCCACGCCCCCCCGCCCCCCCCAGGCACTGATGGCGGGGAAGGGCCAGTGGGTGGGGGTGTAGTCCTGTCTGCCACAAGGGTGCGGCCCTGTCCAATGCGTGGGTGCGTTTCAGATTATCCCGACTCCACGGACGTCAAGTTTGAAGAGCTTAAGAATGTCAAACTGGAAGAGGAGGAGGAGGAGGAGGAAGAGGAGGAGGAGGAGGAGGAGCAGGAGCAAGAAGCTGCGGCTTTGGATCTCTCTGTGAACCCCACATCTGTCGGGGGGCGCCTTGTCTTCCCTGGCTCTAGGAAGAAGCCGTTCTCCTGCCTAGCCTCCGGCTCCTCGCAGGAGTCCGTTTCTTCCGACTCGGAAGCCAGCGAGCCCCTGTCGTGCCGCGCCCCGGGGCAGACGGGGGCCCTGGTGCCGGCGCACGCCTACTCCAGAGGGGACGGCCGGCCGGCGGGGGCAGAGCCGTGCCCGAGGAGGAAAGGCAGCAGCGCCCGCAGCGGCAGTGAGCCGGAGCTGGCGGAGGTACGGGCGGGCCTGGGCAGGGGCGGGAGCTGGAGCGCCTTGGCAAGGATGGCAGGAGGGGTGTGGGGGGCTTGGCGAGGCTGTGGCTGCTGCAGAAGCCACCCCACCCAGGGGGATCCCGTCTTGCACTGCTGTTGGGTGCCCCAGAGTGCGAGCTGGTGCTGTTAGCCGGGGGTGCCTTTTGGCCTGAGCAACCCATGCCAGCCTCGGGCCCAGCTCTGCTGCCTGCCCAGGGGGCCACATTCTCACCCTTCCTGTGCTTCCAGCCCCGGGCCAAGGGTGGCCCTCCTACTCTCCTCTTCTGTGCTGCCCTGCAGACAGAACTCCCTGAGGATTCCCTGCCCCACCCCTACGCAGTCTCTGTCTCAGTGTCGTTGCAGGAGCTTTTTCCCAGAGACCCAGAGCCCCCTGCACGTGTGTGCTCCGGCCCCCGGCTTTGCTTTATGTACAGAAAAAGGCTCTTGGTGGGGCTGAGTGGGCTGCAGCCCTCCCTGCGTCACCTCCCTGATGTCCCAGAGGCGTCCTGGGTGGCATAGAGCCAAGGGGTCAGCAGAAGCTACACGGAAGACCCTCCTTGTTTGTTACGGTTTTTTTTTTTTTTTTAACGTGGCGAGTTGATGACCTGCTCTGGCTGCCTGTGGTTAAGCTGGCACCGTGCGTCTGTCTGCTCCGAACGCCCGGCTTCCAGGCGAGCCGTGGTCTGTCAAGCTGGAGGGTGGTGTTGGGTCTCAGGTGGGCTCCAGCTGCTCCTCACACACCCTGATTCTGCTTCTGCTCCCCTGTCTGTCCTCCTCGGCCCGCCTGGGCACGACAGCCAGTGTGCACCCACAGCCCCGGTCTGCATGGCTGGGGACAGTTGGGATGTCAGAAACTTGGTGCGCACGCCTGGAGGCAGGGACGGGATCGCGGAGCTGCCCCCTCGGCCACTTCCTGCTGCCTCTCCAGGAGGGAGGGGGAAGGCTCGCCGCCCCCAGCTCATTTTCTGCTGCTTCCCTGACTCTTGGGGCTTGGTTTCTGTGGACCCCTTCTTCCCCGTGACTGTCCTCCCTCTGCGGGGAGGTGCCGTCTGGGCGCTGGCACCCTACGTTTCTGCCAGCTGCTCTCTGCTTTCTGGGACTGCTGCCTCGCAGGCTCTCAGACTGGGCACTAGATACCCCCCCCCCGCCCCCACCCCCCAACAGATGTATCCCACTTCAGGGTCCTCTTCCAGTCAGAATGCAGAATCGGCTGACACCGAACGGCGTACTCACTCTGTACCCAGGCACGTTCAGCCCTATTGACTGCTGCTCAGGAATACGTGCTGTCCGTTTACCTTTCATTTGGGGTGGCAAGAGGCACACCCAGCAGTGATCAGGGCTTCCGTCTGGCTCTGAGCTCAGGGATCACTCGTGGCAGGTTCAGGGAACCATACCGTGGTGGCAGGAATCGAACCCAGGTCAGCCGCATGTGAGGCAGGCACCCTACCCGCTGTGCTATCGCTCCAGCCTCCAGTCTTTTCCCTTGGACTAGTAGGAGCCCCAGTGTGAGTGGTGGGTGCACGCGTCGGTCACGTAGGCACTAGAATATTGCTTTATTTCCAGGGAAAGGGTTGGAGAAAATGATCTTTAACTTGTGACCATTGGTCTTGCCTGGGAGCAGGTCACATGGGCAAGACCATTGGTTCGGAGGGGGACCAGGGAAGGCTGGGAACTCGAGCTTCTGTGTCTTGTGGTCCCAGGCCTGACGGTCCTAGTCTGCACTCGCGACTCAGTCCTGGTAGACTTGTGGGACCATACGGGGGTGTGAGAGATCATTCCCGGGTCCGACACGTGCCAGGCAGTTGCCTTACCTGCTGTACCGCATTCCGGCCACACCTTCGTCTATCAGCATGGACCTCTCATCCGGGGTCAGGCCTTCTCCGCTCTGCCACCCTGTGCTGTCCCTGCATCTCCTCTGCACTTTGCCCCTTGTGGCATGCCTGCTCTGGGCCAGGACCGTGCCTGCAGACAGCTGGCTGGCCGTGACCCAACGGGGCGCGCTGAGCTGTGTGTGGCAGGGGTGGGAGACACAGCGTGCTCCTTGCTGAGCCCGGCACGTCCCCAGGGCCTGCCCCACCGGCTTCTGGAAGAACTGAAGGGCAGTCCGTTTTCAGTAGGAATCAGGATGGATCGGGCGAGGGCCAGAGATGGGCGCTTTGTCCGTCGAGACAGCTAACGGCCTCCTATATTTGGGAACGACGGCGTGCTTGGAAGCACCTGTGTCTCCTGTTCCCCACCTGGAGCACCCCAGGGTGTCACTGGGGCCTCTTGCTGTTTACTTCACGTGCTACCACCCTATGTCAGGGGCTCGGGAACGTTCCCCGGTGAAGCTGACGCACCAGAGAAAGCCAGAGACTCCCGGTTGAGCTGTGGGCCAGGTCCCAAGACTTGAGTGCTTGATGGCGAGGGGCTACTTTCAGAGGTCAGGAGTGGAACGTGTCCTGTCAGGAGCACCGTCCTTGACCTTGCGTACTTGAGGTTCACAGGGGGAGCAGGGAAGGCTGGGAACTCGAGCTTCTGTGTCGTGTGGTCCCAGGCCTGATGGAAGAGAGCCCTGGGGGCAGCTCCCCTCGTGCGTTACTGTCAGTCCTGGCTCGCAGCTTGTCTGGACCTGGCCTGGAACTCAGCCCTTTCTGTCACGGACTGAGGGGTTTGGGGGTCGGGGCACACTGCAGGGAAAGCAACACCCTGACACCCTCTGGGTGCCCTGGAGCCGGAACACAGGAAACGGGGGGGGGGGGGTGCTAGTTCCATGTTCAGTGGATCCAGTGTCTCCTCTCGTGGCCAGGCACGAGCCCTGGAATGTGAGCGAACCCATTTTCCTGCATCATCGCAGCCCTGAGCTGGGGGTCTGGGTGCCCGCTGGGCTCCCAGGCGTGAGCACAGGGGCCTTCTGCTCTTCCTTTCTCCCAGAGCCAGGATTAGGGCTGCATTTTATTTTGTTTGTTTTTGGGTCATACCCAGCGATGCTCAGGGTTTACTCCTGGCTCTGTACTCAGGACTGACTCCTGGTGGTGCTTGGGGGGACCATACGGGATGTCTGGGATTGAACCCGGGGTCGGCTACGTGCAAGGCAAACACCCTGCCTGCTGTGCTATCACTCTGGCCCTGCTCCTGGGCTTTTGAATCTTCTTTTCTCTCTCTTCTTCTTGTCCTGGCTTTTAGTCAGCAACTCTTTCTCAGATAATGTATCTCATTCACTGCAATTCATTTTCCTCCCTGTTTGTTTTTTTTTTCTTTTTCTTTTTGGGTCACACCTGGCGATGCACAGGGGTTACTCCTGGCTCATGCACTCAGGAATTACTCCTGGCGGTGCTCGGGGGACCATATGGGATGCTGGGAATCGAACCCGGGTCGGCTGCGTGCAAGGCAAACACCCTACCCGCTGTGCTATCGCTCCAGCCCCTCCTCCCTGTTTTTTTGGCCACACCCAGCGGTGCTCTGAGTGAGGTGCTTTGGGATTCCTTCTGGTGGAGTCCGGGCACTGCATGTCTCTCCAGCTGTTGGCACTCCCTGCCCTCCTCCCCTTCCTCACTGTGGTTCTCACTCTAAAACCTGCTGCTGGATGCCCACAGCTGCGGTTCCGGTCCTGCTTCTTTCCTGAACCCCTCCTTCAAGTTTCTTCCTGTCTGGGGGCAAACAAAGGCCCAGCAGTGGGCTTGAGTGGGGGTCCCTTCATCCCTGCAGTCCTTTGGTCTCACTCGCTTCAGTGGTCCAGGCTCCAAGGTGGCGGCCTGCCCCTCCCCGCTCCCATCCGGCATCTGGATGTCAGGCCTGAAGTGTAGGTGCTCTTCAAAGTAGGGACTGCACAAAGATTATAGGGGTGCCGGAGGATAATAACGGACCTTTAGTTTTACCTTAAGCCTTCTGCAGGTTTTTTTTGTGTGTGTGTGTGTTTGCCTAAAGCGCTTTGATGTATGTAATCCACGAGTACGTATATATGTCCATCAGAATACACGTTTCTCAATTTCCATGCTTACGCTATTAGAGAGTTTGCGGGCCTGAGTGTTCAGTTTAGCAGATTGGGTGTTTCCCTGCTGTGTTGTGGCTCCAGGACCCGGGCTGCTTTTTTTTTAAAAGGCCCAGATGTCCACATATTTGCATGACCCTAGATTACACCCGTGTGCCTGGCATTGCCTGTCTGGGCTTTTGGCTGGCGTACCCCTCCTGTATTAGACCAGGGTGTTCGGCCGTTTTGGCTTTGGAAGAACACTGCCCTGTTTCTTCCTTCGCCTGCCTGTCCCCGCCCCCGTGTTTGACTCGTGAGGCCGGTTTCTGCTGTGTCTCCCGTGTAAGGCGTGGCCCGTCTGATCGCTCTGTGCCGTTTGCCCAGGTTGCTGAGGAATACACGTTTTCGCTGGACGAGAGTAAGAAGTCCAGGGGCCGCCGGCAGCCCCTGAGCAAGCTCCCCCGCCATCACCCGCTCGTGCTGCAGGAGTGTGCCAGCGATGATGGTAAGTGTGGTTCGCGCCTGGCGGTGGAGTGCCGGGAGGCCCGGGCAGGCTGGTGACTTCATGGCTCCCGGTCTCCGTGCAGAGGGCAAAGTCTTATTGCTAACCGATTTTTCATTGGATTTTGTGATAAGTGCCGAGTCCTTTGGAGTGTACCTAAACGGGGGGGTAATGGCAGGTCCTTCCTCCTTCAGTGGGGGGAGGTACAGGCCGCTGATTCTCAGGACTGTAAGTTCTCTTTGTGATACCAGGTCTTGCGTGGAAGGCGAGGGCACAAAGATAACAACTAAAGAGGTGCCGGGATTTCCCAGCACCCACGGACGGGGTTGGTGGTGGGCATAGTGGGTCAGGCTGCTAGGTGAGAAGATCGAACAGGAAGTTGTTACCTAGGCCAGGGACAGCCCGCAGAACCCTGGAGAAGAGGGACGGGAAGGCAGGGTCAGAGGAGCTGGAGTCTGGAGATGCGGGGCTGGAGGGAGAACCAGACTCGGGCCAAGTTTTAAGTGGGGCTAAAAGGGTGAGATTCGAAGGGCCAGGAGCGAGCGTGTGCTTCAGTGCCTTCGAAGTGCAATGGAAGAACAGGCGCCTGGCGAGTGCAAGGCTCTTGAGTTTGATCTCTCCCCCAACGCTCCACCCACTGGGTGTGGGGAAAAAAAATGAACACTTCCGGCCAGTCAGGCCTGAGTGTGGACACTGTCGGCAGTGGCTTGTTGAGAAGTTCGTTCCCCGTGACTGTCCTGAGGACGGCTTTGCAGGGAGGGGATGGGCCCCCTGCGCTGTTCTCGGGTCTGTGAGGGTCTGGGCTGGGGGCAGGTGACAGGGGCCTGGAGTGCAGGTGTTGGACAGGCTGAGCCTTGGGTGGGGGAGCCATGAGGCGGGTAGGGCGAGGTCCCCTGGTTACAGCTTTTGCTTGGGTTTTGTTTTTGGGGTTACGCTCAGCAGTGCTCAGGCCATACTCCTGGCTCAGTGCTCAGGGATCACTCCTGGTGGGATAGGGGGAACCATAGTGGGTGGTAGGCGTTGAATCCAGGTCAGCTGGCTGCAAGGCAAGTGCCCCGCCAGCCGTGCTATCTCTAGGGCAGCAGCCCCCTTTGCTCTGGTTTTGGAAAGCCGCTGTCAGCCGTGTGGAGGTGGCCTCTTGCCCCAGGAAAGAGCACAGAGGGGGTGTCCTGAGGCTGGGCGCGGCAGGAGCAGGAGGGGCCGTGGAGCTGGTCCGCATGCACGCGGGAGGCCTGTGTGCGACCACTGGGCTGGTCCCCGGCCCTGGGAGCTATGTAGCGTGTCATTTTTAAAAATGTATTATTTGGTTTTGTTTCGGGGCTGTGCCTGGCGATGCTCAGAGCATACTGCTGATTCTGAACTCAGGAGTCGGCGGGGCGTACGGGGTGCTGCAGGCTGAACCCAGTTGGCTGCATGTAAGGCAAGCATCTCACCCACTCTATCTGCGGCCCTGTTGGTTGTTGGCTTTTTGATATTGCCAGTATTTGCTTTGTCTATACTACAAAGGAAGTATAGACAGTGATAGGAAATTCCGATTAAGGGACTGGGAGACTGGGCAGAGAGAGAGAGAGAGAGAGGGAGCGCTAGCTTAAAGGGTGGGAACTCAGACTCTCACATGCAAGGGTCACCTGGCCACTGCTGATTGCTGGCCCCCCAACAGATGCCCTAAATATGGAGACATTGGAAGAGTGGCAACGCTCTATGTTCTGTTCCTGCATCCAGCAGCCCCCCACCTTTCGCTGGCTCAGTTCCTATGTATGAACTCTGAGAGGCGTCTCTGGGTGTGACCCCCCGCTCTTGGTACCCCGGGGACAGCAGCAGGGACTCCCCAACGCTTCTTCCGCCCGTTTCCCCTGCATGTGTTCCATAGCTTTCCTTTCCAATCCCGAGCTTGGCTCCTCCATTGCGGTGGGAGGCGCTGCTCAGTGCCTGTTAGCCTCGCAGGCCCCCTGCCCCAGCCGAGTTAGTGACAAGCACACGCGGCTCCCTGCCGCAGAGGTGAGCTGGGAAGGGGCCTGCAGCTCTCCCTCCCTAGGCCAGCGGCCCTGCCATTTCCCACCGCACCAGGGCAGTGCTTTGGGGCCGCTTTGCTTTAAAGGAGCTGTCAGTGTGCCCGTTTCTCCGTTATGATGGTGAGGGCCTCTGTCCGCCTCTGCTCCTTGCTTCCGGCTGGGTCATCCTGTTTCTGCCAGAGGTGCAGAAAGCCATGCTGGGGTTCGCTGCCTTGGGCCCTGGTTCGGCTGGGTCCATGGGAGTGGTCGAGGTCTTCATCGTCTGCTTTGCTGTCTCTGTGCCTCCATGACCTTCCTTGAGGTCGCACACTGGCCGCTGCCACATCCTGCCAGAATTGACAAGACCGAAGGGGGCTGGAGAGATGGTGCAGGGGTGAAGGCGCTTGCCCTGCCTGCAGCCAGCCCGAGCTAGATACATGGCGCCTGGGCACCTCCAGGAGAGACCAACCAGAGCAGGACAAGCAGCTGAAGGCAGGGTAGAAAACTCTTTATTTACGTTGAGATCGAGTTGCCAAAAACAGGCAAATACAGGACTGCGGAGGTGGTTCAGCAGGTAAGGTGCGTGCCTCGCATGCAGCTGACCTTGGTTCTCCCCACAAACTCCGCCAAGCACTGCCCGGTATGATGTTTGAACACAGAGCTAGGAGTTACCCCGGAGTATTGCTGGGGACGGTCCAATCCCCACCCCACCCCCTTCCAAAATCAAGAGCAAATAAATGGGTATTTAGTGTAAGTCTGTTCCAGAGCTTTCCTCGAGCTGTTGTGGAGAGATCTCCAGGGCCTCCAGGAAAGCATCCTCTGTCTGGGATTAGGGAGAGGGTCTTTGGAAGGGGGCAGCCTGGGATTGCAGATGCCCATGCCCAGCTCGGTACCTAGTGGCCTCCTGGGGACACATTTCCCCGAGGAGGTCTCTGTGGTTGCGGCTTCTGCTCCTTCCTTGCCCGGGAGCATCGGTGGAAACTGATGTCCGACCCCTGGGACGCCTGCTGGCCCCTGAGCTCAGAGTCCCAGGCTTCCCTCCCTGTCTGATTCGTGGCCACAGGCAGGCTGTCCTGAGGGTCAGGGCTCCTTCCTGGGGGGTGCGTGCAGCTCTGTTTCTGCGCGTCCCTTCTCCCCTGGATGCCCTGTGTAGAGGGGACTTGCTTCCCCAGGCAGTGTGGACACTACTGCTCCCGTAACTCTCTTCACGTGTGCTGTCTCGCCCCAGTGACTGAAGGAGCGAGCGTAAACATTTCGGGTGGCACAGGCCTTCTGTCTCTAGCTTATATTCGTGTGTGGGATGGATCCAGGCCTCAGGGATGTCACCGGGACAGGCCGGGCACATGTTCTCCCCCTGCAGTGTACACTGGCCTGACCCCATAAACACGGGACCTGACCTCGGCTCGCTGGGAGTGGTGGGTGTGACCATGTGGACCCGTGTGTGGCAGTTCCTCGCCTGGACGTGGGTCACTCAGTCCTCTTGATGTCTGTGAAGGCTGGGAAGAAGGTGTGTGTTGGACATGCACGGCCTTCTCAAGGCTGGGCTAGGGATCCCTGTTCAAGGCAGGAATTCCATGACGGGGATTTCTCCAGGAACTTTCTCAAGGGATCAGGAAAGTTCTAGGCAAGCACCATTTCATGAGAAAGTTTAAGTTTTGTTATTTCTCTGTTGTTTTTCGTGTTTCCTGTTGGTGTGGCTAAAGAAAAAAACTCTTTAAACACGAGGACTCTGGGGGAGCAGGGGACAGTGGGAACGATTAGCATGCGGGTTTTGCATGTGGGAGGTTTGGGCTCGATCCCCAGCATCCCGGAGCTCTGGGAGTACTCCCCGAGCACCGCGGGGTGTGGCGGTGCCACACGCTAGCCCCTGTGCCCCTAAGTAAACTAGGTCAGACTTAGGTTATCATTTGCAAGCAGCAAGTGGTGTGGTTTCTGGCCATTCCAGTGGCGTCCCTTTCCTGCCCATGGACAGAAGGCTTGAGTGCTCACCTTTCTTTTTTTTTTTTTGTTTTTGTGCTTTTTGGTCACACCCAGCGATGCACAGCGGTTACTCCTGGCTCATGGACTCAGGAATTACTCCCGGCGGTTCTCGGGGGGACCATATGGGTTACTGGGAATCGAACCCGGGTCGGCCGCATGCAAGGCAAAGGCCTTACCCGCTCCAGTGCCTTGAGTGCTCTCCTTGAGCTGCAGAGGCTGGCAGACTGGACTCCCCCAGTCAGAAGGAAGTGGAGACCAGGGTTGGCCTTCCAGGGGTGCTGAGGGGTGCGTGGTACCGCCCTGCCCTGGGCTGCTGCTGTCTGCGCCGGGCGGGAGGGACTCACTGTGCCTGCCCCTGCTAGAGGCATCCGAGCAGCTGACCCCTGAGGAGGAGGCCGAGGAGACGGAGGCCTGGGCCAAGCCCCTGAGCCAGCTGTGGCAGAACCGGCCCCCCAACTTTGAAGCCGAGAAGGAATTCAATGAGGCCATGGCGCAGCAGGCTCCTCACTGTTCCGTCTGCATGATCTTCCAGACCTACCATCAGGTGAGCCCCGCGGGCCGGGCCGGCCTCTCCGTGTCCTGTGTTTCCTGCCTGCTCCCTGCAGCCCAGCAACAGCCCAGCCATGCGGGGGCCCCCCAGAGAAGGCTTTCGGGAGAGATGGGAGTGGGGGTGCTGCCCCTCCCCCTCCCCAGGGACCTCACTGTGGGTGGGAGTCTCTCAGTCTCCGGGGAAGGTCAGCTTCTCTCTGTCCTCAGACCCTATGGGGATTGTGTGTGTGTGTGTGTGTCTGTGTGTGTGTGTGTGTGTGTCTGTCTGTCTGTCTGTCTCGCAGGGAGGAAGGTGTTCAGGAAAAACAGTGGGGGCTGCTGCGGCCGCCCTACTCACGGGTGTGTGTTTGTGTGTGTGTGTGTGTGTGTCCCCATCCCAGTATGGGGCCCCTCTTGTGTGTGTGTGTGTGTGTCTCAGTCTGGGGTCCCCTCTCCCTGCATGACCCCTCAGTGTGGGGTCTTCTCTGTGTGTGTGCGTGTCCCCATCCCAGTATGGGGCCCCTCGTGTGTGTGTGTGTGTGTGTGTGTGTGTGTCCCAGTCTGGGGTCCCCTCTCCCTGCATGACCCCTCAGTGTGGGGTCTCCTGTGTGTGTGTGTGTGTGTGTGTGTGTGTATGTGTGCGCGCGTGCGTGTGTGTGTATGTCCTCACTGTGGGGTGTCTCTGTGTCCCTCCCCTTGTGGGATCTCCCAGTGTGGGGTCCCTCTCTCCCTCCAGTGTGGGCTGTGCAGGTACACGTGTGCTTTCCTGTGACCCCTGATGCCTTCACCATCCACAGTGTTTCTGGGCCCAGCCCTCGGTGGCAGGAGGCACTTAGCCCTCCCTCGTGCCGGGTGACCGGCTCATTGGCACAGGGTGGTTGGAGTGGCGTGGCTGTGGCGGTTCCTTGGGTCTGTGCCTCAGTCTTCCCACTGATGAGACGCAAACGCTGAGACCTCTACCGGCCGGGGGGCCCTGCTGCTGACCCTGCCGCCAGCCCAACTCCCGAGGGGCCTCTGACTGCTGGCCGTGACCTCCCTGGGCTGCGGGTGCCGTGATCCAGACCTGTCCTGGGTGTGAGGGTCACCCTGCCACCCAGCAGCTGAAGGCGTCTGCAGGATGGTCGCGGGGGAAGCAGGTGACCGTGTGCACTCCGGCACCACGGCAGTGCTGTGGCTCAAGTCACACTCTCCCCGAAGTGGACGGCCCCGCGGGGCTGCCCCCCACAGCCGCATCCCGTGAGCATCGCGGTGCATTCTATTACCGCCGCCTGGGGAAGGTGGAGATCCCAGCTGCCTCTCGCCTCCTTCCCTCTTCTCGGCTGTCCCCGAGGGGCCTTTGTCTGCCTGCCGTGGGAAATTGAATTCGAGTCATTAGCGGGCACTTCAATTAGCAGCTCTGGCTGGGTGAGCTGGGAACGCGCTCCCTGATGCCAGCTCTGCTTCTTCTCAGGTGGAGTTTGGAGGCTTGACTCAGAGCTGTGCAAAGGCCACAGACCCCGCCCCTCAGAAGCAGAGGACCAAGCCACTGATTCCGGAGATGTGCTTCACCTCCATCGGCTGTAGCACCGACATCAACCTTTCCACCCCCTACCTGGAGGAGGACGGCACCAGCCTCCTCGTCTCCTGCAAAAAGTGCAGCGTCCGCGTGCATGCCAGTGAGTCCCTGCCCTGCCCCTGGCCGCCAGGTCCCCTGATGGGCTCCGTGTCCTGTGTGACCCCGGGGGTTCAGGCTCAGCCCTGCTGAATGCGGTCTAGCCTGCTGCCCACTGGCTGTGTACTGGACAATCGCCAGTTCTGGCTTTGGGTGCTCGTGGCCGCCCTTGTAGATGTGGGTTTCCAGGCGGTCAGTCGCTGGGCAGAGTTGCGGCTCGCCCTCTGACTCTGACTCTGACTCTGGCGCTGCTTCGCCCTCCCGTGGTGTCCCTGCCAGGTTGCTATGGTGTCCCCCCAGCAAAGGCCTCAGAGGACTGGATGTGCTCACGGTGCTCAGCCAACGCCCTGGAGGAGGTGAGTGAGTGTGGACACGCGCCGCTCTGCCCTGTGATACTTAGAGGTCGCGGCCGTGGCAGCGTAGCCGTTTCCCGTGGGCCTGACACACCGCCCCAGCAGTTGGGCGTGTCACGTCCAGGGCGAGAGAGGACGGAGGTTATGAATACCCCCCCTTGGCTGTGAGCGGGGCTGTTGGCTCCAGACAGAAGTAGCTTCGCTCCTCTTTCGGGACCAAGTAGAGGCCCGTCACTGGCCACTTGCCCTGGAGAGGATATGGCCAGTGGGTTGGGAGACTTCACTGCACAGCTCTCCTCCCGCCCGTGCTACCACTGCGGGGAGCACCTCTCGTAGGAGGCAGCGAGAGCCCCCCAGTTTGAGCAGACCTTGTTTTCTGGCTTGGCGTACATTTGTTACTGCGTTTGGGGCCCGGGGATCTGTCCAGGGCCCCTTGTCTGCGAGGTCTGTATTTTACCCCTGAGCTACAGCGTGGCCCCTTTGTGGCTGTTTTTAGTAACAGGGAATGGGATGTCATATCCCAGCGGGGCCAGAGCCATAATAAAAAGGGCGGGGCAGTTGCCTTGGACACAGCCGGCCTGGGTTTGATCCCCTGCACCACATGTGGTCTCTGAGTACTGCCAGGAGCAAGTCCCTGAGCACAGAGCCAGGAGTGACCCCCGGACTTTTGCCAGAGGTGGCCCAATAAAAACCGAAAAGCCATCCGAGTGCCGTCAGCCCCAGCGACCTCCCTGTCTTCCGGGCCACGGGGCTGTGTGTTTGCGGGGCTTCTGTCCAGGCTGCTCGGAGGAAGTGGAGGGCAGCGTGGCATGGGCCTGATGCTCTCCCCTCGCCCCACAGGACTGCTGCCTCTGCTCGCTGCGGGGAGGAGCCCTGCAGAGGGCCAACGATGACAGGTGAGTCTCTGGAGGGTCACTGTCCTCCTGGCAGCCCCAGGCTGGCTCCAAGGCCAGTGCGCCCAGGGGGTGTAGGCGAAAGCCATAGGCCCAGATTTCTTCCTCTCTGCAGCGGAGACATCAGCCAGGTTCTTACGGGGACCTTGGATGGACATGTGAACATGAGGCAGGGTGTGAGAGACACTTGCCTGGTGACCGCCGGGCTGCTCCTCAGGGCTAGGGGCCTCTGGGCAGCCCCCGAGGGCTTCTCCAGTGCTGGACTCCACGTCAGTGAGCTGAATGTCTGTGCCAGTGGGTGCCCTAGGTGGTCTTTTTTAAAAGTTTTTTTGGCTTTTTGGGTCATACCCAGCAATGCTCAGGGCTTACTCCTGGCTCTGCACTCAGGAATTATTCTGGGTGGTGCTCAAGGGACCATATGAGATGCTGGGGATTGAACCCGGGTCGGCCCTGTGCAAGACAAACACCCTATCCTCCCTGTACTATTGCTCTGGCCCCGCCCTAGGTGATCTTGAGGTGGCTGGCCAGGGATCGCCCCTGCAGGCTCTGGGAACCCACTGGGCATCCTGTTGAACCCCCCGAAGCCAGCCTCATGCCTCAGCATCCCCTCTCAGCCTGCTCATGTGAGGCCACCGTCCCTCCCAGAACCTTCTGTGTACAGAGCGGAAACAGCTCCGCAGGGGGCCACCCACCTTCTCCTGACGCCTTGCTCTGTTCTCTGAGCCCCGGACAGATGCTTGGACCCCAGGGCCGCAGCAGCACCCGGCAGCCCTGAGCATGGGCCTCAGGGCCCCCCTGGCTGCTTGGGAGTTTTGTGCCTGTCCCTTGTTCTCTCCTGCTGCACTGATTGACACTCCCCAGAGGCAGCACTCGGGACCCACAGAGCAGAGTGTCACTACTCTGACCCAGCCAGAGGGGTGCCTGTGCAGAGCTTGAAGAACATGCCCCAGGGAGGGGCGGCTCCTTGGCCAGGGCTGGGGAGAGGCTGGGGGCAGGGCGGGGGGGGGGGGGGGAGAGAACAGACTGGAGACTGCCTGGACCTGTTTGGAGTGACCACCCCGCTCTTAAGACCCCTCCCTGAAGCCCCCCCCCCACCCACCCATTTTGCAGTGGGTTGGACTCGCTGCTTCCACGCATTCCTGTGGAGGTGTTTTTGTCCACTTCCTGTCCAGCTGCATCCCGGGCACTTGGCCCTTGGTGGTCAGCAGCACGCTGGGGACAGGAGGAAGCGCCATCCGCAGCCCCCCACTGGGGGAAGGTCTGGCCCTGAGGTCCCTGAGGGAGCCTTTGCCTTGGCCAGGTGGGTCCACGTCTCCTGCGCTGTGGCCATCCTGGAGGCCAGGTTTGTGAACATCGCCGAGAGAAGCCCGGTGGACGTCAGCAAGATCCCCCTGCCCCGCTTCAAGCTGGTAAGCGGGAAGAGGGGCGGGAGCGCGACGCTGCCTTGTCAGCCGCTTCCCTGGAGGCCGGGGCCCTTCCTCAGCCTCTGCCTGATGGGGGATGTGGGGGGGGCACGCTGACCCTCTGGGTCTGGTCAGGCTTGTGATGGTCACCTGGGGGGCTCACGTGACCGAATGGGGACCCCTGTACCAGCCGTTGGAGGGAAGGGGTGTGTGTGAAGGGGGCAGAGCAGGAGAGGGTCCTGGGCGGGTTGTGCCCACCCGTTGCCCCTGTCCCCGTCCCGCAGAAATGCGTCTTCTGTAAGAAGCGGAGGAGAAGGGCGGCGGGCTGCTGCGTGCAGTGCTCCCACGGCCGCTGCCCCACCGCCTTCCACGTCAGCTGCGCCCAGGCCGCCCGCGTGATGATGCAGCCCGATGACTGGCCTTCCGTCGTCTTCATCACCTGCTTCCGCCACAGAATCCCCAGTCTGGAGGTGAGGGGTGGAGTTACTTCGACTCCCTGCTGTGGCGTCCAGGAGCGCGTCCCCGCAGGCTGCCCCAGGGTGTCACAAGAGCTTCCTGCTGCCTCGGGCTCTGCAGAGGGCCAGGGGAAGGCCACTGTCACCTCTGCCTCCTTCCCTTTTGGCGCTTGCTGGCAGGCGCTTGGTGTTCGGCCAATCCCTGTCAGTGATCAGGTCACTCCCTGGCAAAGCTCGGTGGCCCCTGCGGCCGCGACGGTCCGGCTCAGTCACCCGTGGATGAAGCTTGTGTACTAGCACTGGGCGTTATCTCTCACGGGTGACTGAGCTGCCCCTGGAGGGCCCACGGCTCCCTCAGGCCGAGCATTCTGAGTACTTCTGCGGACGGGGCGCTGTCCAGCCTTCTGCCAGTCTCCAGGAGACAGCCTGTTCTTCCCTAACCCGCGAGGTTCGGAGATGCATGTGGTTTGAGCCAGCCTCGTGATGGCATTTGAAGTAGAAGTTGTGGCCCAAGGCCACAGGAGGTTCCTCTCTGCAGAGTGAAGGTGCTGGGCTGGCGGGGGGAGAGGCCCAATTCTCAGAGGTTCTCCACTGCCCTTTTCATTAGGTCCGGGGAGTTTCCAGGGGTCTGGTCTGAGCTGTCTGGTTTGGTTTGTTTTTGGGCCACATCCGGTTGTGTGTTCAGGGCCAGTTCCTAGGTCCACGCTCAGGAATCACCCTTGGCGGTGCTGGGGGTGAGGGGGAAGGGGGACTGGACGGAGTGCCAGGGACTGAACCTGGGTTGGCCGAGTGCCGAGCAAGAGCCCTGCGTGCTGTAGTGTCACTCTTGCCCCTTGGCTATCTAATCTTCACTCTCCTACCAACCGGCAGTTTGCGGCAGGGAGTGAGGAAAGTTTGAAGTGGATAGATTTTTTTACTGCTACTTTTTTTTAAATCACCGTCCTGATAACAGTGTTGTAATACTGTTACCACCGGTGGCTTTGATGTACAAAGTCACCACAGTCCTTGCTACCGCTACTAGAATGAAGTGGTGTTTATAGAATCTTGGTTGCTTGTTAAGCAGTTTTAGGTGCGGATATTAGGCTCTAAGTGACAACCGTACCTGGCCGGGAGAAGTTGCGGGGGTGGGGTGGGGTGGCTGGGGGGGGGGGGGGGTGGGGAACCTGCCCACTGGGGGAAGTATGTTGAGTCACAGCGGCAGGACGGGCAGGCAGTGAGGCTGTGCCAGGCCGGGTGTGGGAGCTGCGTGTGCCAGGAGCGGTGGGTGAGGGTCGTGCACAGGTGTCCAGAGAACTGAGCAAGAGCCTCGGGGGAGAGGGAGCAGCAGCGCTGGGCTTGCTCAGGAAGCTGCAGTGACCTTTCTGGAGAGCCAGAGAAGGAAATGAGCTGTCTGGCCGAGCCGGACAGGGCTGCTCACTGCTCTGAGCCCTGAATGCTGCATCCGACAGGTTGAGAGTGAGGGAAGGTTGCTAAGAGGGCCCCGGAAGGGAGTGGGTCCTGGCAGTGAAGCAGTTCTGCCCTCCGCCCCCAGCGATGTGTGAGGGGCATTGTCTGGCGCCTCTTGGCTCCTGCCATGTCGCTGTGCGGGTGGTTGTGTACTCTGTGTGCGTTTGTGGGGACGGTTGGGTCTGCTCCTGGCAACAGGCGGGAAGTCACAAGGCAGTTCCGGGAGTCGGGCCGTGGCAGGGCGATAGATAGAAGGACCCATTGTGGGTGGCACTCCGGGGTGGGGCTGTTTTTTCCAGAGCAAAGTGTGACGTGTGTGTCTTTCTCTCTGGAAGGTCGTGGGAAGGTCTGTGTCTGCCCCACCTCTCACCTCGGTCTTACTCTCCCATCCCCTTGCAAATGTCCCTCCGGTAGAGGAACCAGTTCCTGGTTCCCAGCGTGCCGGGCCCGTCCACTCAGTGTGCAGCAATAACCCCAGCCTCCATCCCTTCCAGCGCACCAAGGGGGCCTTGCAAAGCATCACCGCAGGCCAGAAGGTCATCAGCAAGCACAAGAACGGGCGCTTCTACCAGTGCGAGGTGGTCACGCTCACCACAGAGACGTTCTACGAAGTCAACTTCGATGACGGCTCCTTCAGCGACAATCTCTACCCCGAGGACATAGTGGTAATGGCAGCAGGGAGCTGCATGGGGGGGCCCACCAGCTGGTCCCCACTCAGGCAAAGCATGTGCGCCAGTCTTCCTGGGCAAAGAAAACGGTGTGCTGCTCGGTACCCGGCTGCCTCTAGGGATCTATGTGTTCTGCAGTTCTTTGAACGGGGCTTCTGCAGGGGCCAGGGAGATAGCACAGTGGTTAGGACGCTTGCCTTGAAATGAGCGTCTGTTGGGGTCTTAATGGTCCTCGGAAGACCTTTGAATGTAAGAGGTGGTAACCCGGCTCGGAGCATGCCAGAGCTTCGGTAACTCGTGCCACCGCTTAGGCACTTGTAGAAGTTTCCAGCTCTTTTCATACCATCTTAGGGGATGGCTGGAACTTGCTTTCGGTTCACAGTGGAAGGTTGGTGGCTGAGTGGAAGCTGCTTGGGGGCACCCTTGGCCTGTTGATGGCCATCAGCGCCCAGACCTGGGAAGTCCTGCCTGCCCCGGCTCCCGCTGCCACTCTTAGTTATCAGGGCCCTATTCAGGTGTCCCGCCTCTCACTCCGCCCTCCCCAGGCCCAAGGTGAAGCCTTTGTCCTGCAGCACCTCAGGTGCTTGTCAGGTTTCAACCTCTTTTGCAGTTCTGGTGCTCAAAGCACCAGAACTGTTAGCTATTAACTAACCTCAGTGAAGATGCTGGAGCCACAAACGTTACGACCACGTGCTAGTAAATAGTGACTTCACATCCAGGGATTCTGACGCCTCTCCATGCTCCAGGGCGAGCTCCCACCCAGTGCTCAGGGATCAGACCCTGGTGATCCTTGGCGAGACTCAGCCGGCCTGAAGGTTCAAGGTCAGAATGGTACCAGGGATCCAGGAGCATGTGGTGCTGGGATTGCACCTGGGTTCTGTGTCTGCAGGCCACGAGCTCCAGCCCCAAGAGCCATCTCTGCAGCCATGGAGACTGGAGTCAGGGCAGTCTCTGTCCAGTGGGGTTGGTAAGAGCAGGTGTAAAGTAAACATCCACAGCGGCCATGTTTGTCTGTGTTTTGGGCCGTGCCTGGTAAGGCTCAGGGATTATTCCTGGCTCTGCACTCAGGAATCACCCCGATGGTGCTCAGGGGACCGTATAGGATGCCGGGGAGGGAACCCGTGTCAGCCACATGCAAAGTAGCTGTAAAATCTCTCCAGCCTCGCATTCACAGCATTCTAGACTCCCGCCCCCTTCCTGTCTGAGATGGACCGTGTTTCTCTGAAGGGACCCACTCCTGGTGGTTCTCAGGTTATGAGTTGCTTTGACCAGGCCTGTGCTCTAAGCTCTGCTGTATACCCAGCTCCCTGTCGAACCTTTTGGCAAGGACCCTACTGACCTTTAGGTCTCCCTTTGGGAAATGATAAAAAAAATTCTAAAGTGCTTTGCTGAGATCGAATGAGGTGAGCTCTTCTTCCCTTTCCCGTTCAGATTGTGCTTCTCAGAACAGTTACGTGTTGTTCTGGGATTTCTTCATAGCAGAGTCCCGATTCCTTAAAGGAAAGATGGACCGGAGGAGGATTCTTCATCGCAGGACCTGCCACCTGTTTGTATTAACTTAAACCAAGTTTGGTGGAGTTTGGGTGCATCAGGGTTGGGTGCCAGGTACTGACCTCGGGCCCCATGTGCACGAAGCAGGTGCTCTCCTGCTGAGCTCCTGAGCTCTGTTCCCATCCCTCATTTGGTGTATTTCAGTCTAGCTCATTAGGAAGTAGGCCCAGAGTCACTTCTGGGACCTTGTCCCAGTCCGTTCTTGTCTGCCATGAGTGTGAGACCCAGTGCTCAGTGCTTGATGTTCACGCTTCTCTCTCTGTGTCCCCTCAGAGCCAAGACTGTCTCCAGTTGGGTCCTCCTGCTGAAGGGGAAGTGGTCCAAGTGAGATGGACAGATGGCCAAGTCTATGGAGCCAAGTTTGTGGCCTCCCACCCCATCCAGATGTACCAGGTAACACCGGGGAGGTTGTACTGGGCTTGTGGGGGTGCTTGTTTCATGTGGTGGTTTTTTTTTTGGGGGGGGGGGCAGCAGTAAGGCTCTCAGTGTGAGGGGCTACTGTGTCTGGTGTGGCCAGGGAGGATTCCAGACTTCTGCATCTTGAAGTCCTTCCTGTGGCTACAGAAAAGGGCCACTGAGCACGGTGGGCCAGGAGGAAGCCGGGGCTAGCTTCAGCCAAAGCTCTTTTGTTTCCTCGGCAGGTGGAGTTTGAGGACGGCTCCCAGCTGGTGGTTAAGAGAGATGACGTGTACACGCTAGACGAAGAGCTTCCCAAGAGAGTCAAGTCAAGACTGGTGGGTGTGTCGTCCAAGGGCCCGCGCCTAGCCTGGGGGGGAGGGGGCAAGGCAGCGACCTCGTCCTCGGTTTCCTTCCCTCGGGGTGCTTGGGACCCCCCGTGCTAACCTGTCTCCTCTTCAGTCTGTAGCCTCAGACATGCGCTTCAATGAGATTTTCACAGAGAAGGAGGTGAAGCAGGAGAAGAAACGGCAGCGGGTCATCAACTCAAGATACCGGGAAGATTACATCGAGCCTGCGCTCTACCGGGCCATCATGGAGTAGGTGCCTCTCGGGCCGGACGTGGGCGGGGCAGCTGCCCAGGCCAGGGCGCTCTGAGGCTCCATGGCACAGCAGACACGTGGAACTCTGCAGCCTCTAAGAGCGACCTTGTAAAAAGAAAAGGAGTGAAATAATCGACCCCCATGATCTTCTCATCCCGCCCTCCTCGCATTCCGCTGTAGTGGAAGGACCAGCCGCAGGTGGACGCATCTCCCCGCCGAGGGCCGAGCACGGGAGCGCGGCGGCGGTGCCGGCCAGTGTGCTGGGCCCGATGGTGCCAGGGGGGGCTGCTTGCCCTGCCCCGGCAGAGGACTTAGCTTCCCAGCGAGTACCTGCACCAGCTAGGCGGAGTCCTGGTGCCTGCCCTCCCTTTTTGTATTTATGTATGTATGAGAATGTGTGCGTGTGCGTGTGCGTGTGTGCGTGTGTGTGTGTGTGTGTGTGTGTGTGCATGCGCCCTTGCGTTCACACAGTATGGATGTTTGATCTGGATCAGCGTCTACCAGCTCCTGGCTTCTTTCTCCCTTGCCTCTCCGGGCTAAACACAATGTGAAATTCCGCCCTCAGCTGAGCTGAGTTAGGGCCCCTGACCTAGCTGGAGACGGGTGTGGTCTGTCTGTCCCCGGGACTGTCTGAAGATAGTGCTGACCTAACCGCAGTATTGAGGGTGAAGAGCAGGTGTCACCTCGGTGTCCTGTCCTGAGCACGGGTGTGTGCCATTATCACTGCAGGCACAGCACCGCCGAGGCGCGCAGTATTAGAGGGTGTGTGGGGCATCCCCTGGAGAGGGGAACTCAAAGATGAAAACAGGCAGAGCCTGGTGGGTGATTCGGACAGCAATCATGCAGGGGCTGGGAGGGTTCAGATAAATTGGGGGCTGTTGAGGACCTGGGGCAGGTTTAGCTAGGCCCCTGGTCTGGGTATGGGAGGGAACCATTTAGGGGAGGGAGGGGAGGTGGGACCGGTGGGCAATATTGAAGGGTTAAACAGGTTTTTTTGCTTCTAATGAATTCGTTTGCCTGGGCCCAGGACGGGAGGGCTTTACACCTATACCCTGTGTATACAAGAATCAGATTTATAATACTTGCCCGTTTTTTGTTACGTATGAACGCTATAAACCAAATTATTTTGAAAACCGGTGCATCACCTTGTCCTTAGCAATAAAATGTGTTGAGTAGAGGATTGGCTGTGTCTGCCCCTAGGAGCCCAAGTGGCCCGGGTCAGGCCGGGGGCGTGTCTCTGTCAGAGGCCCTGGAGCAGGGCCAGGAAAAAGTACTAAAGATCAAGTCTCCGTGGCACGGACTGCTCGGGCTCCGAAAGAGCCAGGTATGGTGGGACCTGGGGGCAGGGGTCCTGTTGGCTTTCCTTTCTGTAGAGATGGGAAGGAGGTGATAGAGGGCAGATCGGCCGTTTCTGCCGCCTGTGGAGCTGAGATTGATCGCTCTGCTGCGACTGGAGGATCTTTGTGGCGTTTTCCTCCGTGTCCATATGGAACTGCCGGGTCAGGCGTGAGTACCTCCTAGGTGCTTGAGGAACAAGGGGTGCAACATGCTGGGTCCCATCTTCTCCTCGGATTTAAGTGGGTCCTGAGACTGCTGTGTCTGCCAGGAGCTTCCCTGAGGGACCCTTTGCTGCGCTGGTGGGTACAAACGGGGGCCCAGCAGTCCCCGTGGCTGCCCCCCCTGGTTGGCTCTCTCTCCCTGCTTTCAGCCTTGTCCAGGTGTGGGAGTTGCTGCCGGCTGCTGCTCCGTGTGGGGTCTGGGGAGGGGCCTGCCACCTGGTGTTTGGTGTGGGGTGGGGGGAAGGGAGAAGCAGCAGGTTTCAATGGTGCTTTTCTAACCCAGCTGCCTCCCAGAACCAGGAAGGGGAGGCGGGCCTTTGCCCAGCACCCCAGGATTCCCAGGGGAGCAGAAGGGCAGGCTGGGCAGGCCAAGGCGCCTTAAAGGGATTGGTGAGCCCTTGGTACAACTTCCCCACCACCACTAGCTCCCTCCTTCCCTGTGACCCCCTCCCCTTTTCCAGTTGTGTGAACTGCAAGACTAGGCTGCCCGGTCTGAATCCTATAAGGAGTTCTATTTTTTTTAGAAGCTGCTTAAGTTTGGGGTCTGTGGGTTAACCCTGGGGCACCCCTGAAGGTGGCGAGACGGTCTCAAAAACCACACGGCCCAGCCAGGGTGCCCTTTACCTCACAGTCAGAGCAGTGAGGCGGGACCTTAGGACCGACTGCAAGGCAGCGTCCAGGCCCACCCCCGGTGGCTTCCAACTTCTACAAAAGGCCCTTTAGAGAGGTGTGGTCCTGTCCTCCCCCCTCTGCAGGTATTCAAGGTTTTAAATGGTGCCTTGTCCAGGGGATAATTGGGGCTCAGCCAGGGGAATGACAGAGTAGGACTAGAGCTGCAATGAGGTAGATCGAACCACGTGGTGTGGAACCGTGCCTGGACTGAGGAGGGTCGATCGCGCAGTTAGAAGGAAGGGGAGCCTAGGACTCCCTCCCTGTCCGCTCCCAGCTCGCAGGATCGGGCGGCTGGACAGCGCCGCCGCAGAGGTCAGAGCCCCAGGCCGCCTTCCTCCGGCCTCTGCGCGCATGCCTGCACCCCTTGGCGTTGAGTGGTCGTGGCCACCCTGCTCCGCTGGTCCCTGCACGGGGGACTGTTCAACAGGCTCCCTAAGGCCTAGGCTCGTCCCGGCGGGCCGCCAACGAGTCGGCATCCCGAGTACATGCGTCCCCGCGGAGCGTGAAGGAGCGTGAAGGGGTCGCGCGGGGAGGGGGAAGGAATTCCCTGGTCCGGTACTAGACGACGACGTCCGAGCGGAACCAGAACCCGCGCCCCGCGCCGCGCGGTCCTCGGTCCCGGGCCCGCCGGCCACCTGGTCGGGAAACTCCGGGCTCTGCGCGCCCATTGGGCCTCCCCGGGCTGTGCCCGCCCCCGGCTCGCAGCGCAGCCCCTCATTGGCCGGCGCGGCGCCCCGCCCAGCCCGCGCGCGCCGATTGGCCGCGGGGGCCCGACCCTCGGCGAGGGCACCGAGGCGGAGCGCCCGATTGGTGGTCGCGCCGTGCCCGGGTCGCGGGCGCGAGCTCCGCCCGCCGCTGCGTCCCCACTATGGCGGCGCCCAGGCAGCCCACCGCGTCGTGGGCGCCCGCCGGGGTCCCCCGCGGCTGCCGCCGTCGTTGGCGCCCTCGCCTCCGTCTCTCCGCCCGCGCCGGGCCGGGCGCCGCCTCCCCGCCGCCTCCCTCTCCGCTGCGGTAAGGGCCGGTCCAGCGCGCGTCGCATGCGGCGGGCGCCGCGGCTAACGGTCGCCGCGCCGCCCCCCGCCGCCCGCCGCCCGCTGCCCATGCCCGTGCCCGTGCCCGTGCCGTGCCCGCCGCGCGGAGCGAGCGCCTGGTCCGCGCGCGCTTGCCTGGGGATGGGAGGGTCGGCGAGCACCGCGCGGCCTTTCCCGGAGGGCCGGTTCCAGCGCGCCGCGGGATGCGCGGGCCCCCGGATGCCTTCGCTGGGGGGTCCGGGCTGTCAGGCCCGGGGGCAGAGGATGAATGGCCCCGGGCCTGGCCGTCCGAGGTCACCCGAGGGCCAGACCCTGCAGCGCCGCGGGTCAGAGCGCAGGGCAAGGGCACGGGCCGGCGGGGGCAGAGGAAGGGACGGTCCCCGCCAAGCCCGAGCGGGATCCTGCAGCCCGTCTTGCTGGCTGGCTGGATGGAGCTGTTGGCGTTGCTTAGTGCCCTCACGAGGGACACCCAGATGTCCAGGGGTGGGGGGGGTGGGGGGCTGAGGTCAAGTGGATGAGCAAAGGACGCCCCGCTTGCCTGCCTTTGTTCTGGCACTTCTTCCTTTTGTTTCGGTGGGCGATACTCGCAAGAGGACAGAAATCTTCGCGACGGAAGCACCTTCGGTTTAGGCTCGTGTCCCGGGCGTATTTTGGGTGCCTTTTTTGACAATCACGCCCTTTTGTGTGCTCCCTCGACCTCATTTGTTTGTGTTTCCCTCACCAAGAGTGACACGTGTAAATAGAAACATTATAATTAGAGAGTGACCAATTGGGTAGGTTTTTTTTTTTTAATCCACAGAGTTTTCGGTGGCTATATTTTGAAACATCTATGTTATAGCTTTGTGGGCATGAAGATAGAACCAAAAAAAAAATAAATAAAAGCACCTTTTAGGTTCTTGAAGGTAAGATAGATTTTGTGGAAAACTTGGCTTCTTGTTTGTCTTTGAGTCACAGCTGTCGGTGCTCAGTTCTTACCCCTGGCTGTGCACCTGCAGATCATTCTTGGAGGGGTCCTGGTACCCAATAGGGTGCCAGGGATCGAACCTAGATGGGCTGCATGCAAGGCAAGCTCCTTACCCACTATCCCATTGCTCTGGTTCAAAATAGGTTATTTCTAAGTCAGAATCACAGTAAGCGATGGTGGTTGAACTCATTAAACATGCCTCCAATCAAAAAGGATGAAAAGAAATCTGGCACAAAATTTTGTCTGAATGATTTATTAAAATAATTCCTTAAGGCTATAGCAGCTTTTAAGACTAAAGATTCTTAATTTCAGGATATTTGGCAGTTTCAAGTGGTGAATCTTATTTCACGTGTAAATCATTAATGAGGAAGTAAGATATGCGTAAGAGACTTAGTGACATCACATCAGTGAAGTATCTTCTGAGGATTTACAGCATTGAAGTCAGCATAACTGTGGGAAACAGTGCCTGGAAGGCAGGAACTTAGTTCTCACAGAACTGTAAGCTAGTTGTGGGAATGAATCAAGCAACACAGGAGGTGAATAAAGGCTTGCCGGTAAGTGCTGACTAATACTGTGGTTCCCAGACCTTACAGAAGGGTCGGCACTATGAGCATTTGTGAAAAGGAGAAATCCAGATGTTTGAGGGAAGTTCGCCCTGGGGAGCTAAGGCTTGCAGTGAGCCATGCCTGAGTAGAACCTGGCTAGAAGGAAGAATCTGAGAGTGTGACAATGGAAGTGGTTTCTTTTTTACAGGAAAAGTGGGAGCAAGGGTTGTGTGGAATTGGTGTGTTGGATGGAGTGGGAGCAGGGAGTGTTGTCCCAGTTTTTGGAGACAGGTGGGTTGTGCCTTACTCACACTTCCTTAAGGTAGCAGGAAATCATTACAGAAGAAACACAGTAGCGTTTTGTTTGCCTTGGGCAGAAGCCTTTCTGATAACCTGGGGACAGGACCTGTTCTGATTAACTTCAAATGAAAGTTTTCTTTTTTGGGGGGTGGGTGGGTGAGTGGGCGTTGGGCCACACCCAGTTATGTTTAGAGGTTCCTTCTGGCTCTGAGCTCAGAAATTAGTCCTGTTGGTGCTCTGGAGACCAGATGGGATGCAGATCCTGGGAATGGACCCGGTGTGCTTTGTGCGAAGGAACCCCCTTACCTATCACTCCGGACCCCTTGAAAGTTTTCTTTGTAACTTTCTCAGCTGCCACAGCTAGTTTGAATAACCTTCCTCTCAGCTACCCTGGACCAGTGCCGCAGGATTTTTTTTCTAGCCATTCTTTTACCTCACTTGTTCACTCGCTGGACATGAATTCTATCCTATTTCTAGCATCTGTTTCTTTCCAGTCCTGCTGCCAGCCCACTGACTTGCGGTCGTTGTTATCACCAAGCCGTTCTAAAAGCCTCCCCTATTTTTTATTTAGTTTTATTTATTTATTTGCTTTTTGGGTCAGACCCGGCAATGTGCAGGGGTTATTCCTGGCTCATGCACTCAGAAATTATTCCTGGCGGTGCTCGGGGGACCATATGGGATGCTGGGAATCGAACCCGGCTTGGCTACGTGCAAGGCAAACGTCCTACCGACTGTGCTGTCACTCCAGCCCCCTCCCCTACTTTTTAAATTTGTTTTTTTTGGATCACTTCTGGTAGGTTTCAGGGGATCCTATGTTATGCTTGGTAGGGTGCTTGTGAGGCGCGCTGTACTATCACCCTAGCGTGCCCCCCCTTTTTTTCTGTCTCTTCCATCTGTCCTGTGTATGATCATCACTTCAAATACTGTAACCTTATTTTTTTAAATTTTAAACTAGTTTTATTTGGGATTTCTGAGGAAGAGAGGGAGAGAGAGAGACAGAGAGAGAGAGAGAGAGAGACAGACAGACAGACAGACAGACAGCCTCACTTAAGAGAGATTGGGTTTCTCCAGAGTGGAGAGAGAGCCCCCGTACACATGCCAGCATTAAAGTATGAAAGTCCATGTCCCAAGAGGGGAGATGTAGGTGACACATGTAGGTGAGGGCACCATGTACCTGGGCTATCCTATTGTTTTTTTCTATCTTAAATGATCCCCTTGACTCCCTAATTTTTTACGTATTTATTTTTTTACCTATGATTCGGGGACATTTGAAATAGAACTTCAAATGGGTAACTTTTTGGGAAACTTTTTGGGAAAGTTTTTTGCTTTCTCTTTTTGCTTTTTAGATCACACCCAGCAAAGCACAAAGGTCAGTTCTGGCTTTGCACTCAGGAATTACCCGTGGCAGTGCTCAGGGGACCATATGGGATGCTGGGAATCGACCCCGGGTCGGCCTCATGCAAGGCAAACGCCCTACCTGCTGTGCTATCTCTCCAGCCCCTGGGAAAGTTCTTGTAATTTTCTCTCCATGTAGATGGGATTGGTCACTTTATGCTTTATGGCAGAGTGTCTTCCTTTTCGTCATAATTTCTCAAGCAAGATTAGAGCTTTCCCAAGATAAGTGCTTTCTCCTACTTTTTTTCCTCCTCATCTTCCTGTTGTATTGCACACGCACCCACATAAACCTGCACCCACTTTGTATTGAACAAAGCTTTGAGCCAGAGTGGATGCAAAAGAAAATTCTTCATGTAAACAAAATGTTCAGCATAAAATCTGTAAATAAAGTTATATAAGATAGTTACTTACTGTGAGGTCTGGTGTTTTGGTCGTAATCTTCTTTTTTGAGGCGGGGGGTGCATAACTATCGATGTTAAGAGGTTATTCCTGCCTCTGCACCAGGAATTACTCCCTTTGGGGCTCAAGGTACCATATGGGGTGCCAGGGATTAAAACCCAGGTCAGCCATGTGCAAGACAAGTTCTCTACTCATGTACTCTCTTTTCCAGACCCTGGTATTTCTGTTTTAATAGTCTGAAGAGCCTGGATCAGCTGCACAAACCCTTAAGACTTAAGTGACTCAACAGGGCAAAAGTTGACTTTCAGGGCTGGGTAAATAGTACAGCAGGTAAAGTGCTTGCCTTGCTTTATAGCCAACCCAGATTTTCCCCCGGCGCTGTATATGGTTCCCTGAGCACTGCAACAGTGATCCTTGAGCATAGTAGAGTGCTGTCCCCAAATCATGGTGTTTCCGTGATGATTTGAGCAGGGGAAAGGTGGTTTTGAATGTTTCTGCCTTAAAATGGCGTATGTCACTTTCATTGGTAAAAGCAAGTCACATGGGTATTCCTAACTTGAAAGGACCAGGAATTAGCAGTCTCAGCATATGCCTGTAAGGCAGACACTCACTCATTAGTCAACAGTACTAATGGCCACTACAACTTGCTTGTCATGACCCCAGAGAAGATTAGAGGTAATACAGTCAGATCAGCATGCTGACAGTGCGAGAAATAATGGTTCTAACCAGGTACAGAGTGAGGATGAAGTGGCAGCTGAGAACTTCATTCCCAGCACCAAGAATGCTCAAGGACTGTGACTCTCGGTTGCCAGAAGGACATGCCATCCTTATTTAATTAATTTTGGTTTGGGGGCCACACCCAGTGGCGCTCAGGGCTTCGTCCTAATTCTGCATTTAGGGATCACGCCTGGTGCTCCTCTGGGGACCTTTAGTGGTGCTGGGACTCAAACCCAGCTTGGCTGCCTTCTAGGCAAATACTTGGCTCTTGTAATCTCTCTCCAGCCTGAAGAGATAAGTGGTCAGGAAGGCATCAGGAAGTAAATGTAAGTGGTCAGGAAGTAAAGTTTGTTTGTGCTGATCATCACTCCCATTTAAAATTTTATTTTTTCTTGGTTTTGGGGCTACATCTGACCATCCCTATTTCATAGTAAAGAGCACAGGAATGGTCCTGAAGTACCCAAAGAAAGAAGTTTAGTTATAGACAAGAGATCCAGACTAAGGAAGCTGAAGCATACAGTAACTTGAGACACATTATTTTGGGTTTTGGGCCATACCTAGCAGTGCTCAGGACTTAAATCCTGGCTCTGCATTCAGGGATCACTCCTGATGGTGCTCAGAGACCACATAGGGTGCCGGGGATTGAACCCGAGTTGGCTG